TGTCCCTCCGGCCCCTGCTTCCTTTTCTGGATTACTAATACAGATATTGTTGCAGAGAATGGTCTCAACAGCTACACGTATGAATGAGGCTTTGTTTTGTTATGTTTGGTTTTAGGTTTTGGTTTTTGGGATTTCATTTGTTTGGTTGTTTTGGTTTGGTTTGGGTTTTTCAAGACAGGGTTTCTCTGTGTAACAGCCCTAGCTGTCCTGGAACTAGCTCTTGTTGGCCAGGCTGGCTTTGAGTTCACAGAGATCTGCCTGCTTCTGCTTCCCGAGTGCTAGGAATAAAGGCATCTACCAGCACTGATTAGCCTGAATGAGTTTTTATACAGAATAAATGCTTGAAAACACTAAAAGGAGGGGCTGGAGAGATGGCTCCGAGGTTAAGAGCACTGGCTGCTCTTCCAGAGGTCCTGAGTTCAATTCCCAGCAACCACATGGTGGCTCACAACCATCTGTAATGAGATCTGGCACCCTCTTCTGGTGCTCAGGGACACACGCAGGCAGAACACTGTATACATAATAAATACATCTTTTGAAAAAAGGAAAATGCTGTGGTGAGTTTAATGCATGTCCTCACCTTACCCCACACTTGCCCCATCACAGGTGGGTTATTATCAATATTTATTATATCTCCCCTAAACATTATGGTGGTTTGAGAGAAAATGGTCCCCATACGCATAGGGAGTGAACCGAGTAGGAGGGAGTGTGTCACTGGGGGGGTGGACTTTGAAGCTTCAGAGGCTCAAGCCAGGCCCAGTGGCTCAAGTCTGTTCCTGTTGCCTACAAATGTAGATGTAGAACTCTCTGCTCCTTCTCCAGCATGTCTGCCTGCACACCACCATGCCTCCCACTGAGATGATAATGGACTAAACCTCTGAACTGTAAGTCAGCCCCAATTAAATGCTTTCTTTTATAAGAGTAGCCTTGCTCCTGGTGTCTCTTCACAGCAATAGGAACCCTACCCGAGACAATTATGGTCCAGAGTACTCACTTCCAAGGTGCACAGATGATATAAATGACCCAAGGTGGCTTTTGTAGTTGGTTAGAAGGAGTATATGACTCCAGTTTGGTTCTTTCCTTTTTAAGTGCCTGATATCTGAAGTGTCAACTTGACAGGCTCTGAGATCACCTGGGAGAGATACCTCCGGCAGTGTCTGTGAAGGCATTTCCAGAGAGGTTCTAGAGGGCGACGAGGAAGGCATGCACACATGGACGCAGTTCTGTTCACCCTGCAGCAGACTTAGTGCAAGCCTCCTCAAAATCCCATGGTGCCCTTTAATCCCAGCGCATGGGAGACAGAGGCAGGAGGATCGCTGTGAGTTCAAGACCAGCCTACCTACAAAAGCGAGCTCCAGGACAGCCAGGACTGTTGAACAGAGAAACCTGTCTCAAAGAAACAAAAAACCTCCATGACTCATTATTGTGATGATGGGGATAGAATTGGAAGCCATTCTGTTCATTGAGAGACTACGCCAAGCACGAAAGACCAACCCACTCGTTCCCACCTGTTTGTTGGATCTAAACTAATGAAATTCAGAGACGCAGAGAGCAGTGGGGAGGTTGCCAGGGGTTCAGGATGGGGAGAGCTAGATGACACCAATCAAAGGGACAAAGGCTTATTACGCAAAAAAATTGATTATTGTTGGGGGGGGGGGCTCTGTGAATGTAACATGAGAAACAGCAAAAGGAAGACTGTACATTTTGAAGCTTTAAACCATAATTTCCAATGACCTCATCACAAAAAATGATGTGCTTGAAGCCCTACCCCGACTTCCTCATACCTACTGTAGCATGCGTGTGCCCCACACTGCAAATAGATAGATGAATGTAAACCTAACAAAGAACACCATTTCAGATGATAGATAGCTCCCATGTGTTCCCCATCCATGGAGAAGGCTTCAAGTCAGCCCTGGCCTGGCCCCTGCCCAGGCTGCCAGGAAGCTGTGCGTCTTTGCTCAGAGTTAATAAGTGTGCATCTGGGATCTCTTCCAACAGACTTTAACAACAGCTAACTTCCAGAGTTGGGTTCAGTCTGTGTGTCTTAGAGGAGACCCTAGCGAGTCTTCTTCACCTGGCCCTTAAGTCCTACGACCACGCCCATCGGATGACTATCCGCAGCTCGAGCTGTGTCTCAGGGTAAGCGGCCTCCTGACTCTGCAGATCTCACCATGTCCAGAACTGATCCCAGAAGACATGATGTCCTCTGGTTCTCTGGGGCCGCAGTCAGTCATCGTAAAGCCAGGAACACAGAGCAGTTCCATTAAAAAAGAAATCATGTTGGAAGTAAGAAATTTAACAATAAAATAGCAATGTATCACTTTACACCTCACTGCTCGCCCTTAAAATAGATGTTTGTGATCAGCTCAAAGAAGAACCAACCAGTCAGCTGCCTTAGGAGCCTGTTCCTCAGCTTTAAATGCTAACATAAACAACCAACTTCCATGGAAATATACAGCCTCCACACTCATTGTGAGAGCCAGTCTAAATGTCTGACTAGCCACTTTAGCCTGTGCTGTTGCACTTCCTGTCACGAGAGAACGTGACCAAGGGACCAGGGCTGAAGCACCCCAGCAAACCACATGGCTGTCCCTAACTGCTGAGTGCCATGCCAGTCTGATAAGGACTTCCCTTAGCACACAGAAAGGACCTTCTGGGGGCAACAGCCTCTATTCTCTTCAAAAAGAAAAAGAAAATCCTCTGCCTCAGAGTTTGAGGTCAGTGTAGACTATTGAATGAGTTCCAGGACAGCCAGGGCTACAGAGAACCCTGTTTCAAAAAAGAAGAAAGGGGAGGAGGAGAGAAAGGAAGAAAGAGAGAGAGAGAAAGGAGGGTGTGAAGGAAGAAGGGAGGGAGAAAAGAAAGAAAGAAAACAGAAAGTTAGAATGAAAGGAAGGAAGGGGAGACGTAACACACATGTCTTAGGGTTCCTCTTGCTGTGAAGAGACATCATGACCACGACAACTCTTTTTTTTTTTTTTTTTTTGGTTTTTCGAGACAGGGTTTCTCTGTAGCTTTGGTGCCTGTCCCGGAACTAGCTCTGTAGACCAGGCTGGCCTCAAACTCCCAGAGATCCACCTGCCTCTGCCTCCCCAGTGCTGGGATTAAAGGCGTGTGCCACCACCACCCAGCTCATGACAACTCTTATAAAGGAAAACATTTAATTGGGTGACTTATAGTTTCAGAGGTTTAGTCCATTATCATCATGATGGGACATGGCAGTGTGCAAACAGACCTCGGGCTGGAGGAACTGAGAGTCCTACATCTTGATCCAAAGGCAACAGGTAGTGAACTGTGACACGAGGTGTAGCTTGAGCATAGAAGACCTCAAAACCCACCCCCTCAGCAGCACATTTCCTCCGACAAGTCACGCCTACTTCAACAAGGCCACACCTCCTAATAGTGCTGCTCCTTATGAACTTATGGGGACCAATTACATTCGAACTATCACACAATGTCTGTTCAGCCCAGAGAGGGAGCCTACAATAGACCAAAGTGTGGATACCATAAAAGGCCAACTAGGTGAACCACTGAAGTTTGGGGGGGGGGGTATTTAAGGGGATATGGGTGAGGGGTTGCTTACAGAGATAGTGACTCAAAGACAGTTATGTCACCAAAGCCCACCCCTGTACAGATGACAGCTCACAAAAGCTGAGAACCTGGAGCACAGCGCACAGCCTACAGGCAGCTCAGCAGGTGGAGGAGTGTTTTCCAGGTGGCTCAGTTGGTCTGAGCCTCTTTCAGGGAGCTCTGGTGGCCTCTGGTTCTTCCAGGCCACTTGGCTGGTCTCAGAGTCTCATCCAGGTGCCACCCAGTGGCTGAGCCCCAGGTACGAAGGTATCCCTCCATTTTGGGCACCTCTGTTATTTCTGCTCTCTCCTGGAGGTGCAGAGATGGAGCACCTTGCCTTTCAGGAGCCAGGCACAGAGTGTCAGGGAAGGGGCGAGGGGAGTCTATCAGCAATCCCTTCCAGGAAGCCCCATGATGGTGAGGACGAGGGGTGGAGTGCCTGGAACAGAAGGGATGGGGGTGTCTGAGTCTGAAAAAAAAAAAAGAAAGAAAAGAAAAAACTACTGGTGTCACTGAGGTGAGTCCAGAGCTGGACTGCTCTGGGTTAGAGAAGAAACAGAAGTGGGGAGTTCACACCAGGACTCCCCTAAGTCCTCAGTGAGCCTTTTATGATGAGCTAAACTCAAGGCCACCTGACAGTAACTTGCGGCTGTTTGATTCTTACCTGCAGAATGGATTTAGGAAAGACTTCTGTGTGGTCTGGACTGTGACTCGGTGCCTACAAGTGTTGCCCGAGGGTGGTTGGCAAGATCAATGACAGTGCTCTCTGGGCTTTCTGAAGAAACAAACTTTGGTGTCCTGGCTAGTTTTATGTCCTCTTGGCCCAAGCTAGAGTCCTCTGAAAGGAGGGACCTCTATTGAGAAAATGCCTCCATGAGATCCAGCTGTAGGGCACTTTCTTAATTAGTCACTGATGGAGGAGGGTCCAGTCCACTGTAGGTGGTACCATCCCTGGGCTGGTGGTCCTGGTTTCTGCAAGAAAGCAGGCTGAGCAAGCCCTCCTCCATGGCTTCCGCAGCAGTTCCCATCTGCAGGTTTTAGCCCTATTTGAGTTTCTATCCAGACTTCCTTCATTGATAGACTACGATGTGGAAGTATAAGCCAAATAAACCCTTTCCTCCCCAAGTTACTTTGGATGTGGTGTTAAATCGCAGCAATAGAAATTCTAAGACAATTGATAAGATGTCTTCCCTTTCTGCCCCTGGCCTCGCATTCCTTCTGTGTCTGGGTCGCGTCCCCTGGGAGCCTGATGTGTCCACCAGGGGGCAGCACAGGATCGTGCTCCGCTCACCCGCTCACGCTCCCGCCTCCTGGGAACCTAGCACCCGCCCTCCGCCCCAGGGGAGGAGCTGGGCAAAGCACCTACAGTCTGCATCCTACAGAGAGGCTCAGATATCCTACGCGAGCTTTCAGGGGGTCCACCCCCTCCCTTGTGTACTCGGGAGCCTGTTCCCTGGGCGACAGTCAACACAGACAGGACTGCAAAACACAGTTGGGTCCCAGCCTGGAGAGTTCTGTTTCCTGCAGTCACTCTGAGCTCGGGATCCGGTGGGGGAACCTTGTGCAGGCTTTTCTAGGTTAAGAAAAGAATCTCTGTCTCTTTTCTCTCTTTTTCTCCTCTCCCGCTTTCCCCAGTCCCCTATGGGCAGCCAACACACTCGACTCCAAAGAACCACATCATCCGGGTACCGACCGCCTCTTACCAGGCCTCTTGCCTCAGTTTCCAGGACCCAGGATGGCCCTGCAGCAAGCAGGGGTCTTGCTGGTGGTTGCCAGGGTACCGGAGCCCAGGATGTACAGCAGGACCAGCTGTGGAGGGAGCTTGTGGAAGCCGAAGTTCGAGGCCAGCAGCGTTGGTGAGTGTCCTGTCCCTGCCTCCCTCCCCTCCCCCAGGTCTCCCCACGCTCCCACCTGCCTTGGAGTGTGGGAAGATGCTGGGAAAGGGAGAATATATGGAAAAGAGATTAGGACAGGGAGAACATTAATTAAAGTACGGTGTGAGGGAGGGTCTGAAGCCCCTACGGGAGCCCAGGGCCTCAGTCCCAGCAGGCAGCTGGGAATATAGACACAGAGGGGGCCCTTGTCCCATCTCCCAGCACTCTCTCCAGATGGACATGGCAGGTCAGATGGGAAGCTGGTGTTGGGAATCTAAGCTCTACCCGGGGAGGAATGCTGGTCTGGGGGTGGCAGTGGGGGGCCCCCTTCATGCCTTCATTCAACAAAGGATACCCATGAGCCTTTGTGGGCTGCCAGGGGAAGCTGGGTAGGTTTGACCAGGGTTGGGGGGGGGGGCTCCCTTCTAGGACCCCGAGAGAAGCAGGTAAGTAAACTAAGCAAGGAGGGACGATGCCTCCGAACTGTATGCCCAGTTTGGAGTTTGTAAGACAAAACCTAAGAGTGGTGGAAGCACAGTAAGGAGGAAGACAGCTACAGAGCGGCCACCCACGCAGTTGTGAAAGTGTAGACAGAAGTTTCTGCCCCGCCTGGTCCCACAGCTGGTCGTCCCAAAGAAACACACAGAGGCGTAGATTTATTATAAACTGTTTGCCCAATTAGGTCAGGCTTGTAATTAACTAGCTCTTACAACTTCAATTAACCCATAATTCTTATCTATGTTTAGCCATGTGGCCTGGTACCTTTTCTCAGTGAGGCATTCTCATCCTGCTTCCTCTGCATCTGGGTGGCAACTGCAGACTGAGCCTTTCCTCTTCCCAGAACTCTCCTAGTCTGGTTGTCACGCCTGTACTTCCTGCCTGGTTACTAGCCAATCAGTGTTAAACTAATCCAATACAGGTGACAAATCTTTACAGCGTACAAAAGCATTATCCCACAGCATGAAGTCTAGATGAAGGCTCTCCAAATACACACACTGTCCAGGGCTTTGCACACAGACTTTATTTTAAAAATGTAAACTTAGCTGGGCAGTGTGACTGACACCTTTAATCCTAGAATTTAGGAGGCAGGGGCAAACAGATCTCTGAGTTCAAAGTCAACCTGGTCTACATGGTGGCAGAAAGCACAGCAGCAGGCAGGCAGGCACTGGAGCAGTAGCTGAGAGCTCACATCCTAATCTGTGAGCAGAAGGCAGAAAGGAAAGAAAGAGGTGGGTATACACTGCGAATGGCATGGGCTTTTTGCCTCCAGTGACATACCTCCTCCAACAAGGCCACATGTCCCAATCCTTTCTAGACAGTTCTACCAACTAGGAATCAAGTCTTCAAATACATAAGCCTATAGGGGCCATTCTCATTTAGACCGGCACAAATGGGGGTGACTTGAGCCTGTAATCCCGGTGTTGGAAAGACAGAGGCAGGAGGATCAGAAGTTCAAGATTGTCAGGTGTGGCAGTGCACACCTTTAATCCCGGCACTCAGAGGCAAAGGCAGGCAGATCTCTGTGAGTTCAAAGCCAGCCTGGTCTGTAAAGAAAGATTCAGGCCAGTTAAGATCACAACAAGACCCTGTCTCAAACAAACAAAAAAAGTCAAGGTCATCTTCAGCTACGTAGTGAGTTCTAAACTAACCTGGATTAACAGACAAATGAATAAATAAGGAAGTTAACACGAAGTGTTAAACACATAACATCTGGAATAAGAATTGGTGAAAATTATAAAAACCAGATAGAAAAAGTCGCTGGCCACTCTATGGGCTGCTCCCTAAATATAACATGGGCACTTGGCATTATTATAGTGGTTACGAAGCATTTTAACTCCTCCATGATGATAAAAAGACTTCAAGAGATGGTGAAAGCCGGGCGGTGGTGGCACACGCCTTTAATCGCAGCACTCGGGAGGCAGAGGCAGGCAGATCTCTGTGAGTTCGAGGCCAGCCTGGTCTACAAGAGCTAGTTCCAGGACAACCTGTAAAGCTACAGAAAAACCCTGTCTCAAAAAACCAAAAAAAAAAAAAAAAAAGAGAGAGAGATGGTGAAAGTCATTCTTCAGAATATTCCAGAAAACAAAATAAACAAACAGTCCCACTCACATTCCTGTGCTTTCCTTTCCAGGGCTGAGAATTGGGGTTTTCTGAAAGACTACGACCCTTTGGTAAGGCCACACCCCTCCAGAAAACTGCTTATGGTGTCAACATTCATTCTTCCTTCATATCCCCACGGGGCCGGTGACCTGAGATGTCTCCTCTCCTCAGGGAAATAAGAAGGAGCCTGAGAAGCTCCCTGAAGACGTGCCCTTCTTCTCAAACACACTCCCCAGGTCCACGAGCCAGGAGGTGGGCAGTAGGGTGGACACAGCCCTGGGGAGAGCCCTCACCCACATGGATTTCTTCTTTACGGAAGGCACGAGGAAGAAGAAGCTGGAGGATGAGCTGCAGCCAGTGTAGGGATCTCAGGACAGACCCCAGCAGGTAGGTGTGGAATGGACAGAGTCCAGGAGGCCCTCAGAGTGTGGGTGCTCTTGGGTCAGTCTCATATGGGGCAGGAGGAGGATTCCAGAAACACCCCTAGGACCACAGAACTTTACTCAGCCCTTCCTGCTCAGGACCCCAGAGTTAAAGTGGGAACCCAGTGTTAAAGGTGGGAGCGTGTTTAATGGGTTCAGTCTGACTTTATAACCATGAGGTTGTTCACAGTTTCTGCCTCTGTCTGTCTGTCTGTCTGTCTGTGGGTGCTGGGGCACCTCAACCTGACTTCATGCACTGGGAGGAGGCAGGGCGAGCTGGTAGCACACTACCAGCTGACCTGAAGGCTGCTGTTCGCGCCGCCAATTTGTAGGTGGAGGCCACTTGTTCATTCCCGGCTGCCCAGACCATGAAATAATCACAAAGAAACTATATTAATTAAATCAATGCTTGGCCAATCACTTAAGCGTATTTCTGGCTAACTCTATCCTAAACTAACCCATTTCCATTAATCTGTGCATCACCATGACGTCGCGGCCTATCGGCAAAGTTCCAGCACATCTGTCTCTGGTGGAGGCTACATGGCTTCCCCCTGACTCTGCCTTCTTTTCTCCTCTATCTGCTTGGAGTTCCTGCCTTGCTCTATTCTGCTAAGCCACTGGCCAGATATATTCATTAACCAATAAAAGCAACACATATACAGAAGGACTTCCCACACCAGGCTGTAGCCTTCCTCCTGGGAGTCTAAGGTCAAAGCTAGTTATCCTGACCAATCCAAGATCACAGGAGCCGTGGCGGCTCAGCAGCTAAAAGGACTTGCAGAGACCTAGGTTCACTTCCCAGCACCTGCCTCGTGGCTAACAGTTATCTGTAACTCTAGCCCCAAGGAATCCAATGCCCTCTCTGGCCTCTAAGGGCACTTGAATGCACCATTATACAGACACATACACATAAACCTAAAAACAAAACAAACAAAAGTCAAGGCTCACTTCAGCTGCAGGTGGCTTCCCCCAAGCACACTAGAGGATCTCATAAAGACTTCTCTAATCTGTCTCTTGGGGCATGGGACCGGGAGCCCAGGAGTGCTTTCCAAGCCACAAGCACAGCCATTTACAGATGGTGCAAAGTTTAAGCCCAAATCACCTTCTTCACATGTATTTTTGTCACTAGCCGAGAAGTCTAGAAGCCAAGGCAAGCATCTGGGGCAGACTGGTCAGTTCCCTGTGATGTCTGACTCAGGGCAGCCATACCCATCCTGGCCTCCATCTCCACAGTTAGAGGATGGGCAGGAGAGAGGAGGAGACAGATCTCAAGGATATCACAGGGCTGGTCTTCTCTAGAGCACGTTGGTCAGAAGGAAAATACAGTACAGCTCACAGCCTCCTTTCCCATGCATAGACCTTGGCTGGAACATTATACTGGAGATCTTGTCTACATGTCTCTCAGTTGTTTGGACCAACAGGCTCCTGGGGTACAAGCTTCTCTCTGCTCATCTCCAGAGTGCCAAGAGAGCCGGAAAGAGAGGATGCCATACTGTGTCTGTGTGACTCTGCAGGTCGCAGCCAGCCCCCCCCACATATACTCTGCACCCCACGTACTGCCACCCCCATCATGTCTTCAGGCTCTTCAGGAAGCTGTCTGCTTTGACTTTCACTATCTCACCCATGGGCTAAGGAAATGGACATGGGTCCGGCCACCAGTGCCTTCTGTCTTTGGGACCAGAACAAAGAAGGCTGGATGCGCCAGGCAGCCAGGCTCCAGGCCTAAGCATGGGGAAGTAGCACCAAAGCTCCATGGCCTCACTGGAAATCCCTAGGGCAGCTCAGAGCCCACAGGCTGGGCAGCACCAGGAGTCCAGAAGGGTCAAGTCCAGAGAGCTAAGGCCCACAGCAGGGCAGGAAGGAGCCCCCTTCACTCTAGACCACTGCTTCTCTGAGCATCTCTGCCTCCTTCTGCCCTGTGGTAGACGCTACCCCTACTTCCAGTGGTAAAGAATGACCGCTTGCCATGGAGACACAGAGTGACCCTTGCGCATCTTCCTGTACTAGACATGATGAGGTAGTGTAAAAAGACGCATGGGTTATTCTGGGGGTGCCTATCCACCAAGTTTAGAACAATGTCGATGTCAACGTGAAGGAAAAGTAGAGGGCCAACCCTGGCTACACCCCTGACTCATGTGCACACACAAACACACATACACATGATTAAATATAATTACATTTTTTTCAAATACTGAACTCTTGAGAATTACAGAATTAAGAACAGAAATATCGTCATTTTAGGCCTAACACTCATAACTACTTTAGGTATGAATTAATAAAGGCCACAGAAACCTTAGGTTAGAGATTCATAGGGAGTCCCATCAGGAGAAGGGCTGCTGACATGAAGTACCTCCCAAAATGACACTCTGGAGCTACCCAAGGAGCTCTCCCTCGAGACAGAGTACATGTGACCTGAGAGCCTCCAGGAAAGGACAGAAGCCCATGCTTGCCTCTTTGTGAAAGACAAAGGGAGCTGAGTAGTGGCCCAGGTGAGAGGCAGCCCAGGCCAAAGAGACTCTAGAGAGCGCTGTGGGGAATAAATGCCGGAGGACAGGCAGCCGGTGGGTGCACTACACCGTGACCTAGTGGAGAACAGGTCGGTGTCACGCTGCGCTGGTGTAGATCCCGGCTTCTGAAACTGAGCGGGAGCCAGGTAACTACATGTGGGGTCTGCAAAAATATGGTCGCAGTAAGAGTGCTGGACATGCAATGACCAAAAATTAATTCAAAGACAAACATGTAATGTACTCCTGATGTTTCTGGCTGTGCTAGCCAGTTGTATTCTGTGACTTCTCCATGGCTGTGCCTCTGAATATACAGTGTGCGTGATTTGTAGTTAGCAGGCTGTCACACCGCACAACCTCAAGAGATGCTGCCTGGAGCAGTCCACACAGGCACATGTACATGGCTTGGCACCCACACACACATGCACACACACACATGCGCACACACATGCACACACACATGCGCGCACACACGCACACACACATGCTCACACACATGCACACACACAGGCGCGCACACACACGCACGCACACGCGCGCGCGCGCACACACACGTACACACATGCGCACACACATGCGCGCACACATGCACACACGCACACACACGTACACATGCACACATGCCACACATACACATGCACACCCATGTGTATACACATGCACATGCATACCATGTACACACATGCACACACACAATTGCTGCTCTACTTGATTCAAGTTTCATTTTTAAAAAAGGTGTTTGGCTTGTGATAAATTTGCAACAATTTCTAAAATGGCCTTAAACATCCAGTGCCATTTTGCATTAGCTATTCATGTAAAGGGGCATTCTCAGTATCAGAAGTTATAAAATCAAAATATCAAAGGGCTGGAGAGATGGCTCAGGGGCTACAAGTATTGTTGCTCTTCGAAGGGATCCAAGGTCCTCTTCTGGCCTCCATGGGCATCGGGCATGTATGTGGTACACAGACATATATGCAGACAAAATGCTCACACACATAAAAGAGAAATTTTTAAAACTTTAAAAATAAAATAAAGATATCAGTCAACTCTGAAAAAATTTGAAAATGTTCTATTTTCTGTCCTATCAAATATTGAATCAAATTTTAATTCTGTATGTAAAAATAAACACAACCACCTCAGTATGCAAATTAACTTTAATCTTTAATAAATTGTAAAACTATGTGTAAACCAAAGAATTATTTTGAAAAAAATTTTTTTGATTTGTTATCAGCTGGTGTTTGAGTTATACAGTTTGGTTTTTTCTTTTAAGTTCAAGGATGTTTTTTGTTAGAGTTTGAGAAAAGCAGGGGCAGGCTAACTGTAAATCTTGGGGAAAAGTCCTTTATTTAGCAAGTAGCCACCTGGCAGCCAAGCAGCCGGTGTGATGCAAAAAGTGAGGGGAGGGGAGTGTCTGGGAAAGGGAGGGAATCCAAGTGTCTGGGAAAGCATGCTTCAGAAAGAGACAGAGAAAGAAAGGGCGAAAGGAAAGTTATCCAGGCTGGTTCTGCAAGCTGCTGCCTGATCACAGCACCTACATTCTCCTCCAGGGTCACAGGGACTGTGAGAAGGGCTGTGAGTGGGAAGAGCTTAAGAAGCTCTGAGTAGTTTCCAGGTGACCGCTAAGTCACCTGAGGTCTGCAGCACATTGGCCAGTAGCTTATGTGTAGTAATACATACAGGCAGGCAAGCCACGTGCAGAGCCTAGACCACATACCTACAGGTTTAGACAGTTGTTTACCTCTATGGGATTTGGAGTCCTTTTGTCTTAGCATTTACCCTCAAAATGGAACAAACTGCTATATTGTAAAATGGAGTTACTCAGGGCAAGGCTGAGCTAGGAGGCTGTTGGCTTTACACAAGTAATTTACACAGTAAGTAACTCGGAGCAGAGCTGACTGTATCATATCTCCATTCTCGACTACTTAGGTACAGAATTGCCGACTTAAGAGAGACATAGCCAAAGCGTGGAAACACACACACACACACACACACACACACACACACACCCTTCAAAGATCTCTCTAGTGGGAGGGAAGCGTTAGAGCCTTTTGACTTCTTCCATGGGAAGGGTGAGGACTTTGGTGAGGACTGGAGGCAAGGTGGAAGGTGTGTGCTGGTGCATAGTTTACAGCCCAGAATTACTGCAGACTAGCTGTGCGTCTGTGCATGTGTGTGTGTGTGTGTGTGTGTGTGTGTGTGTGTTCAGACTCATAACCTAGTGATCTCCAGAGGAGGGAAAATGACCCCATCTTCCAATCTTGTACCTAAAGGGTGGTGCCCAGTTGTGTTATTTCTCCCAGGGAGATATATGGCGGCACCAATTCACCCCAGGCAGGGCTCCAATATATTATAGAGTCCGCCCAGTGAGTTTATTGGGATTGTTTAATGGGTGTTGATTCAAGAAAATTGCATCACTCGCTGGAGTTGTAGTCCCTGCAAGCAACTTAGTTTCCCTACTATTTACAGTTTGTAACCCCCCCCCACCCGCCCCTCCCAGTGGTGATCACAGCAGCCTCAGCTCTCCTTCCAGAAAGCAGGAATCCAATCTGGAGGAAACAGCAGCGCACCACGACAACCCCTTTTCTTTTGGTTTTTCGAGACAGGGTTTGGTTTCTCTGTGTTGCTTTGGAGCCAGTCCTGGAACTAGCTCTTGTAGACCAGGCTGGCCACGAACTCACAGAAATCCGTCTGCCTATGCCTCCTGTGTGCTGGGATTAAAGGTGTACACCACCACCGCCCGGCAACCCCTTTTCAATAATAGTTACCTATTAACTCTTTTTTTTTTTATGTATAGAGTGTTTCTGTAGCATGTACGCCTGCACGCCAGAGGAGGACGCCAGATCTCACTACAGATGGTTGTGAATGGTTGTGAATTACCACGTGGTCGCCGGGAATTGAACTCAAGACCGCTGGAGGAATAGGCGGTGCTTTCTTTCTTTTTTTTTTTAAGAATTTATTTACTTATTATGTATACAGTATTCCTTCCATGTATGCCTGCAGGCCAGAAGAGGGTACCAGATCTCATAGATGGCTGTGTGCCACCAAGTGGTTGCTGGTAATTGAACTCAGGACTTCTGGAAGAGCAGTCAGTGCTCTTAACCACTGAGCCATCTCTCCAGCCCCCACCTATTAACACTTTTGAGGCAATGTGTATTTGTATTCTCAGCGATGGGGAGGTTGAAAGAAAGAGGATCACTGGGGTCCCTTGGCCTGTTAGCCTCGCCTGTTTAGTGAGTCCCAAGCCCGCGAGGGTGTACGGTACTCCAGGAATGACACCTGAGGGTGTCCATTTGTCTTGCGCACACAACAACAAAACCCTAATAATAAAAATAAAAAGAGGAGGGAAAGAGCGGGCTCTCACGTGGTACGATGGAACAAGTTAGAAATCCTAGCATTTGCCAAAAGGCGGAGGGAAAAAAAACAGAAGTTCAAAACCAGTCTGGGTCCTGTGACCCGACCTCAACCCACCCACTACAGGTTCTGGATTGGAAAGCAGGGCGGAAACAGGAGGGTCCGGGTGGAAAGCTGGCTTTGGTTCACCTTGAGTTCAAGGCCAGTCAGTCTGCGCGGTCGGAGGCCTCGTTTCAACAAAACAAAACAGGAAAAGCAGCCTCCGGGTTCAGGGAGCAAGTTCATTCATTAAGGGGATTAGCCTACCCGGTGGACTTCTTAAACCAACAGAAGGGTAGCTCCGAGTGGCTGGGTTTCGGGGGGCCTCGGCGTCCTCAGGCTTCTTCAGGCCGAGTCTGGGAGAATGCTGACGAAGTTGGACCAAAAAAAAAAAAAAGCTTTAATTTCTGAAAGGTTTAAAGTACAAAGGTTAATTTACAGAGGGTGGAAAAACACTCGGAATGGCCTGAGCGGTAGGCCCTGTGCCCACCCAACCTCTGGGGAGGCTGGTCTGTCCCAGCATTTCCATTCCGCTAGAAAGGGCACCCGTGGGTGGAACCCGGAAAGTGAATCAGCAGCAGGCAGAACCCGGCTGGGCAGGACAGAGCAGAGCCACCACCCCGGGGCTGGGAGTACCCGGAGCAGAGCAGACACGAGGCCGGGTGCACCCAGAGTGGAGCAGACACCGGGTGGGGAACATCCTGAGTCGAGCAAGCTCGGGGCGTTGTGCACCTGGAGTGGAACAAACACGGGGCAGGACGCACCCAGAGTGGAGCAGACTCAGGGCGGGGTGCACCAGGGTCGGAGCAGATTCTGGGCGGTGTGTGCACTGAGCATAGCAAACACAGGACGGGGAGGGGTCCAAAGGGGAGGGGTGAGGGGAGGGGCCCACCAGAGCGGAGCGGACTTGGGCGGGGAGCTTCCAGAGTCCAGCCGACACCGGGCGGGGCGCACTTGGAGCGCAGCAGCTCGGGGCGTGGTTGGGGCGTCGCCCGGCGGGCGGGAAGGCGGAAGGACTTTGGACCGTGAGCTCCTGGTTCTCACCCACGAGATTCCGCAGCCCCCTGATCCCGCACTCCCGGGATTGCAGTATGGAGGCCGGGCTGCTGTGGTTCTGCAACTGGAGCACGCTGGGCGTTTGCGCCGCACTCAAGCTGCCGCAGATCTACGCGCAGTTGGCGGCGCGCAGTGCGCGGGGCATCAGCCTCCCCAGTTTACTTTTGGAGTTGGCTGGGTAAGGCCCCGGGAGGCCTGCGAATCCGGGAGACCGAGGGTTAACTCGGGGGGCGCGGAGCTGGGAGGCGCTTTCCCGGGCGCTCCCACACACCTCCCTTGCTTCTCCCCAAATCCCGGAAGGTACGAAATGCCTGTGCACGCCCATCTTAGAGATTCTGCGAAGTCACCCCGACCCCCATCCTGTCCTTAGCTACGGCCTTCCAGCCGCGGGGGAAGCCATTTGCACCTGCGGTCCCTTAACGACCCCTAACCTCACCCGGCACCACCCACATTTTTTTTTTCCCCCAGCCTAGAGTCCCTTGCCTGTAAACCAGTGGTTGGGCTGAGATCTGAGTTACAAGATTTGATGATTCCATGTGGGAATGAAGAGGGGGAACGAAGAGGGGGAACTTGGGTAGGCGTTTGGAAGTTGGGCTGGGGTCCAACACGCAGGTTTGGGCAATGGCTGCTGCAGGAGCCAAGTTATTGGTGACTTTGGCTCAGTAGTTAAGAGTAAGAGGTAAAGTCGTGAAACTTTGGGAAAAACAAATTAAATGGGAAACACGTCCCTGAGTCGCGTGATCTTGCACCAGGCACCAGCCCCTCCCCGCTGTCATCCACACCGAGGAGAGCGCCCATCTGATAGGGTGGGCTTCAAGGTGCACCTTTTCAGAGAGCGGGCGGGAGGGTCCCTGGTCCGTTGGCTGCGTAGAACAAGAGTATGTGCATTTCAGAGAGGGGGGAAGGGAGGAAAGGAGGGAGGGAGGAAGGGAGGGAGGGAGGGAGGGAGAGAGAGAGAGAGAGAGAGAGAGAGAGAGAGAGGTGATGGGTAAGGCTTGAGACTGAAGGATGCAGGCTGGGGTTAGAGGATGCAGGTGTTTTAAGTCAGGAGAGTTACTTGGCCTCTGGCATGCTAAGTTCTTCGCGAGCATGAAGCTCAGGCTTCAGGGTGCAGACTGAATAGAAAGTTCTCTGATGCCTACAGAACGCTAACCATCTCCTCCCCTGCCTGTAGCTCCCTCTTTGCTGCCTGGCTTTAAACACGCAAATCCAATCAGAAATCGTCTCAAATCCAACAGCTGACCCCAGCAGCTCTGGTCATGGAAATGTTCCTTGAGACTCGGATGGTTTTGTAGTCTATCGCGGTACAGATAAAGTAGGCTCTTTCTGGAAATCTCAACTGCCTCTCTCCCTTCGGGCAGTGGGCGGGCAACTGCGACTGGTTTCTGTAGTTAGGTTTGGCAGGGTTAAGACCAGCTCTAAGGCCAGAAGGCGTGGGTATGCGGCACCACTGAAACCTGATAGTTATTTATCCCTACTTCTGCCGGCAGTTTACTGCAATAGTTCCCAGTTCGTGTGGTCTTTCCGGAGGTCCTCCTGGAACCCTACATGCATTCCTTTCTTAATCCTCACAGCAGTTTGAGCTGAAGAGTTGTTTTAATCCTGAGCTAGGAACAATAGGGATAGGAGGGCAACCCTGCCTAATCTCAGCTGTCTCCATTTCCACTCCTCCCACCTTCCACTCCTCCCACCTCCCCGCTCCCTTCCCCTTGCATGGCTGGGGGTGGGGGTCACTTCAATTTTGCACCCGCCTGGGCTTTGCTTGGTTGCCTGCTTGACCTTCACCAATCAGACAGGCTCTGAGGCATCCACCACTATCATACAGCCTGCATCCTCCAGGGACTGGACTCCTGCCTTGGGGGCATGGACCCTCTTTGGATTTTGACCTGAGAGCTCCAACTCTAAAATTCTGATTTGAGGGAATTGGTTCTTGGCCAGAACCAATGACACCGGAGACTTCATGCCTGGTTGATGATTGCTTTACACAGAAACCTTAAAGACTGCAAAGCATTCGTGCATCATCCTCAGGGTACAGGTGTTCGGGTCCCCCTAAAAGCACAGAAGCCAGTCCTCAGGGAGAGAGCCTGAGTTGACATCTTAACCTTGAGTTCTCACATGGTCTTGTCATCTTTGGGCCTTAGTTTCTCCATATGATATGGCAGGCACTGTAGGTGACCTGCAAAGGTGTTTGGCAAAGTACCGACACTCAAGGTCTTTTGGACCGGCTGTCTGTGTCTCTGGCAACATTCCTGAAGGTCTATCCTCAGGGAAGTCACAAGCATGGTGAAGACCGCATGCTCTAGTCTTGGATAAATGTGCCTGGGATCTGGCGGGGTCTCAGGGTGGGCTGTGAATATCTACATGTCCTGCCTCCAGGTTCCTGGTCTTCTTTCGCTACCAATGTTACTATGGGAACCCGTTGCTCACCTACCTGGAATACCCCATTCTCATCGCACAAGGTAACTGACAACTCCCCATCCCACCCCCCTTCCCAGCCTAACCTGCTGCTCTGCCCATCTCACGGTCTCTTCTTTCAGACATCATCCTCCTGCTCTTCGTCTTCCACTTCAATGGGAACGTGAAGCAGGCCTTGCCCTACATGGCCGTGTATCCTTCCTGCATCTGAGCTGGACATGGAGGTGGAGGGGGCTAAGGAAAGGGGCTCATGGTGGCATGCAAGAGGCTCTGAATTCTGTCCTCGGCAACAAAAAAGGGTAGGGGGGATTTGGGGTGTCATTTGCTAATATTCTGCACTGTGAAACAAGATCTTTTTTTTTTTTAATTAAAAAAGACTCATACATTGTGAGTCTTTACAGTCCTTAGGATAGTACAGTTGCTGCCAGTGGTGTCCCTATAATATGATTGCCCCCCCTGCCCTCCAAGACCACATGGGATCTAGATTCTGCTGAACGCGAGAGGATTGTAGTCACCCTGCTAAGAGCAAGAGGCTCCACCTGTGCTTATCTCAAGCCCTCCTTCCTTCCGTGAGCATGTCCCCAGGGGATTAATGACATGACAGTGCCTGGCACCAAGTCCCATGCAGGATGCACCTGGTAGGTGCCTGCCAGTAGGCACAGACCTGGCTGGGGCAGTTTCCCGCTAAGCATGCACCTATGCAAAGCTGTAATTTAGAGGCTGGGCCTTGTCTGGGTGGCTGTGTTGGTTTGGAGGCTTACCACGCAGAATGGCGAGGCATTAGACCAGTCCACGCTGTGGCGTCTCCTACGCAGAGCGTAGTTTCATGGCAGCCTTTTTCATAAGGATTTGGTGTCACTTCTCTTAAACTTCCAACTCCTTAAAAAGGCCAAGAGTGTCTGCGTCATGACGGCAGTCAGCTAATCCTGCTGCCTCCATGACATGACCATGCACCCTTTTTACAGTGAGAGGCCCCAGGATTTGGGTAAGTCTTGACCACAGACTGCCTCAGATTGCTATGAGTTCCTGGCTCAGGTTCCCCTCTCCATTAAAGAAAAAGAGTATAGCTGTGCTCTGAGGTCAGTTTCAAGGGGTTGTGTTTGCCTTCCTCTCTCCTGGTAGGTGAGGATGGCTTGAGCTTCTGATCCCCCAGCCTCCACCTCCCAGACGCTGGGATTACAGGCATGCCCCCACTACATTCGCAAAGAGAATGTTTTAGTAGAGTTTAGTGCAGCTAGATGCCAGCCATTGTTGTGGGTCAATCTCTAGTTTAATCCCTTCACCAGTTTAATGTAACCATTGTTTTCAGCCACCTTTGGGGTTCTTCTGTATGCAGATAGCATATGGGATATGGACCGGGCAGGGAATAAAACCCCGAGGCAAGGCAGCGGTTAGTAACTTGTTCCTGCTAGCCACTCCTGCCCTGACTATGGCTCCCTTCAGCCCTCATGGTTTGATATTTCTGCCCTGGTTGGGCTCTTTTGTTTCTGTTCATTGAATCAGGAATCCTGCACAGGTCAGATGGAAAATGGTTCCTCTCCTTGCCTACCATTGTACATGTGCTTTTACAACAGAATTAGTGGGAAAGGGGTGCGGATCCACAAAAAGGTCACACACAGCTCACCGGTTTTGCAGAACACCTCTCCTTTGCATGCTTGAACCTTTCTTGTAAGCACTTAATTTTGATGATGCATTAGAGAAGTCTGCACAGTCAGGAAACCAGCATTGTAGCTACAGCCGTATGAATCACAGTTCGTGAACACAGATCTGTGCGTTTTCTCCCATAATTTGCTTCCGTTCTTTTGAACTCAGAACAGATGTTCACATGCAACCCCTTAGCATCTTTTCCAAACTGGACACCATCCAGCAGAGCAGTCCCCACCCCTTTACATAGACTTCTGTGTCACCCTCTGTGGTCTAGCTTGGCCTGTATAGGACAAGAAGGGAGGGGTGGGTGGGGCTGTCAGTGACTCCCTGCTGGGTCCCTTAGCACTTGGCCAGATTTGTGTCATCCTGGTTCATCCTCAGCCTGCAGAAATGGATTATCGACCTGGCCATGGTAAGTGGTGCCCCTAAGAGGGAAACTGGAAAAGCAGGTGCCTTCTTTTTGCCCCCGACCGCTTTAGAGCAGTGTTTCTCACCTCCCTCATATTGTGGGGACCCCCAACCATAAAATTATTTTCACTGCTGCTCCATAACTGTCATTTTTCTACTGTTATGAATTGTAATCTAAGTATCCGTGCTCTCCCTTGGTCTCAGGTGGCTCCTGTGAAAAGGTCGTTAGATATCCCAAGGGATAGAGACCCACAGGTTGAGAACCACTGCTTTAGACATGGGGTGTCACCCGCATTTTGCAGCTATGTTGAGGAGGATGAAAAGGCAATGTCGGCCAAATATTAAGACATTATTTTTGAAAGGTTTGGAGCTCAAGGGGAACACTAAGGTCAACTCCCCCTTTTATTTGTGTGAGGGGGTGGGGATGCATGCAGAAATTTGTAAGCCATCTTCTTCCATCTTGTGGGTTTCGGGGACTGAATTTAGGTCATCAGGCCCCACAGCTATCTTCCCCACCCACTGAGCCACCTTGCCATCCCTGACAGCGTAAGTTTTAAGATAACCTTCCTGTTTTCCTCCCACTCTGTGACCCCTCCCTCAGTCCCCCTACAAGCGCTCACTGTGCACCTGCTCTCTGGTAGACACATGCAGCTGATGCACATCCCTGCCTGCAGTGGACTGTTTTGTGGGATAACACGATGTTCTCCCTTCAGTGTGTGCTGACACTACCAGGGTTCTCTTATGGCCTGCTCCCAGACCACCCCCTTGATCTCAAAGTTGGTTTTTTTCTTGAAAAGCGAACATGTCACTAACTTGTCCATTTGGCTGGCTATACCTAAGCCACTTATGGTGTCCCTCCCCACCACACTAAGCTGGTCCTGCCACCTTCCTTTGCTTTATCCAGCACCCCAATTTCTCAAGAGCTTCCTTTTTCACAGCATTCCTTGCTTGGGTCTAGGCTTCCTGCAGGTCATCTGTGCCCAGCTCCCATTGTGACTTTTGTCTGTTTAAGCCTGGCAAAGGCATTGCTCCCTCCTCTGCCCAGATACACTCTGACACTCCTTTCTCGGTGATTCTTTCCCATGTAGCCCCATCTCCCACCCATAAGAACTTCTGGAGGCCAGCCAGGTGCCCACACAAGGAGGAAGCAGAGCCTGTGAAAGGTCCTGTGACTTGTCACTCATTTGAAAGCCAGCAGTCAGGCCCCATGCCTCTCATCTCTGAAGTTTCACTACAGATCAGGATCTCTATAGCATTCACTTGATTCTCTCGCCTGGCTTTCAAACACACCACTTTCTGTGGCCCTTCCTAACTTTATCTCCCTGACTTCTGAATGCTGCTCATGCCATTCTACCCAGCCTAGATGACTGTAGTGGGCTCCCTCTGTCCTGAGCAGTGAGCATGATGGGCTGACAGCCAATTTGCAAGGCTTTCTTGTCTGAGAGATAACAGACAAGAATGAGGAACAGTTTGGAAGTTGGTCTATTTAGCGATAGGCTGGGATACACCATACCTATTCTGGGGAGAGAGTATGGGGAGAGAGTAGAAGGCAGGGTGCATCTGCAGCCAGGCCAGTTCATGCCCTACCAGAGAGGCAGATGAGGGTCATCCTTCACCAAATTGAAGTTTCAAACCTTGGCACATTGGAGACTGCTAGTCTTGAAAGTGTGGCTTAAAAGGCACTGTATCCGGGCTAATGCAATGACTCAGTGGTTAAAGGCGCTTGCTGCCCAGCCTGATGACCTGAGTTCAATTCCCAGGACCACAGAACTAGCTTTCGCAAGCTTTGCCACTTCTGTAGAGAATAAACTGTGTTTACAAAGGTACTGCATCCGCTCCTGTCCTCTCAGGCTCCTGACTTTCTCACTTCTGTAGAGAATAAACTGTGTTTACAAAGGTACTGCATCCGCTCCTCTGTCCTCTCAGGCTCCTGACTTTCTCACTTCTGTAGAGAACAAACTGTGTTTACAAAGGTACTGCATCCGCTCCTGTCCTCTCAGGCTCCTGACTTTCTCACTTCTTTTCCACAACAGAACTTAAGCACGGTCATCAGTGCAGCCAGTAAGTTTGCCCAGCTCCAGTATCTGTGGAAGGTGCAGGACTCGGAAGCCGTGAGTGCACTGTCCTGGGGCCTCTCTGCCTACACCTGTGCAAGTAAGGCCACCATTCTCCAGGGACATCAGAGTCTTCTTTTGTGCACTAATACTTTTACAATTAACTATGCAACAGAACCTGCTAATGAAAAAAAGGTACCCCTGTGTATAAGGGGCCGTAATACAGACTGTGGCTTCAACTGTCACCCAGAGTCCTGTTCACTACAGAGAAAGGAGCTAACAAAAGAACTCTGGTTAGACAGGAAGAATTTATCTTCTTCAAGTCTTAGTTTTGTTACTTGTGAAAAATGGGGTGGAGTTCAATGCTTAAAGAATTTCTGCCAAATGCGGTAATGTGTGCCTTTAATCCCAGTGCTCAGTATTTGAGGCAGGTGGGGCTCTGGGATTCCAGAACTGCCAGTGACCTTGTCTCAAATTTGCATAATTTTAAAAACATTATTTTTGTTTAATTTTATGCATATGGTGTTTTACACCTAAATTTATATATGTGTACCACAGGCATGCCTGGTGCCCTTGGAGGCCAGAAAGGGGTCAGATTCTCTGTGACTGGGGTTATGTGCTTCCACATGGGTGCTGGGAAGTGATCCCAGTTCCTCTAGAAAAGCAACCAGTGCTCTTAACCATTGAGCCATCTCTCCAGCCTATTTACCTACACACACAGACACACACACACACACACACACACACACACACATTTAATTAGTGGGAGCCTTTCTTCAAGTAAAATAACTGGAAGCTCAATATGCAAATGACACTTGAGATTGTTTTTGTTGTTTTGGGGGAGGGGTGAGCACAAGGAGGGATGGGAGCTCTCCCAGGTAGTGCTGCGCTACTGTCAGAAATGCTTCTTAGAGAAGCTCCTACAGACTGTGCCAGGGCCTGGGTGTATGGCTGCTCATTAGAGGTTTACACAATACAGCATTAACAAGGGTCCCCTATCAAAGTCATTCAAGAAGTTAACGTATATTATGTAGTAAAATTGAAAGGAATGAGCTAAATAGAAATACAAAATGTATGAGAAGTTACATATTGCTATGAATTTTCTTTTACAGCACGAATAATAACAACTTTAATGACCACCAATGATTTCACAAGTAAGCAAAACTTCCTTTTGACTTCCTGGGTTTTGCTTTCTTTTGTTTTTGTATGTGTGTGTGGGGGGGTAACTTTGGTCTAACATAGAACCTATCATAAGGCTTAACAGACCCACTTAGTTCAATTGGGCTATGGATTCAGAGGACAAAGCATTAGTCTTCAACAGTGACTGTCTCTATTATGCATCCACTCCTTGCAGTCCATGGGGAGAAATATGCCCATGGGAGTCAGTTCTCATCTTGGAGTTTCTTTTTTTTTCTTTTTTTTTTTTTTTTTGGTTTTTCGAGACAGGGTTTCTCTGTGGCTTTGGAGCCTGTCCTGGAACTCGCTCTGTAGACCAGGCTGGTCTCGAACTCACAGAGATCCGCCTGCCTCTGCCTCCCGAGTGCTGGGATTAAAGGCGTGCGCCACCATCGCCCGGCCTCGTCTTGGAGTTTCTACTTCAACAAGGAAACTGGACAGGACTCCCACAATTAACTGTTGAAGTATGCTGTGAAATGGGTTTTCAGAGTAGGGCAGCTGGGTGTGGTGGCTTGCATCTATAATCCTGTATACTGAGACAGCTAAGGCAAAAGAGCCAAACCAGCTGGGGAGACCCGGTCTCTAAAACAAGAGACACCAGCAGGGTGGGTGGCTGAGGAGCCCTTCCTACTCTGTGGGAGCAGAGAGAGTCATCTGCCAAGTGAGGCCTTCAGTGCTGAATAAAGGTCTGATCAGAGGAGAACACATGTGACCAGGAGCAAAGAAGGTGCCAGGGCTGGCCACACTGGTCTGGCCACACTGAGCAGTGAGGCTGGCAGGGGCCAGAGAAGTCAGAACTGTAGACATACCTTTGAGTAGTAAGACACCTCCAACTATGTTTTAAAGCAGGGCTCATGTAGTGCCATTTGCTACATGCTCATACAGGAAGGTAGACAGGGGTGTGTGTGTGCAAACACCGAGAAGCTGAGAGAAGAAAATACTTTGGTTAACTGAACGAGAGTTTCTCCCTTACGCTCTTTTCAACTTCCAACACAGCATCTTTGAAAAGTGAAGAAACAGAAACCTATCCAATGACTATTAGAAAATGTCCTCAGCTGGGTGGTGGCGGTGCTCGCCTTTAATCCTAGTACTCGGGAGGCAGAGACAGGCGGATCTCTGTGAATTCGAGGCCAGCTTGGTCTACAGTGCTAGTTCCAAAGCTACAGAGTAACCCTGTTTCAAAAAGCCAAAAATGTCCTCAACACTAGGCTTTTTATTGAGAAAGCAAGCTTCAGAAGAGTGAAGTCCCTTTGGGAGGTTTATCAGCTCTGACTTCAGTGGCGGGATAAAAAAGGAGACAGACCTAAGTCTCCTCCATGGGACTTGAGTTCACAGGAGGGAGACGAGTGTAATTAAAAAGCAGAGGGCCCATATATAAAAAAAGTTTATATTTAAAAGACCAAGAATGCTCCCACTGCAATCTGTACTTGTCACCCCTGTTCTGAGTGACTCGCTTTTAGAAACAGTATGGCCAGCCGGGCCTGTGATAGCACACACCTGTAACCCCAGCACTCGGGCAGAGGCAGGCTGATCTCTGTTTGAGGCTAGCCTGATTACGTAAAAAGTTCCAGGACAGCCAGGAGCTACATAAAGAGATCCTGTCCAAAATAAAGTGTGGCTAGTACGCTGTTTGTATTTTACCATTACAAAGACATCTCAAAAGTCAAGTGGGGCTGCAGTTCATTTCATAAAGTGGGTCCCATGCATGTGGGGAGCCCTGGCTTCAATCCTGAACACAGAAATCAGGAGTTTAAAGTCACTGTCAGCTACAGTCAGAGAGACCCTGTCATAAAACAAACACAGTCTTCAAGGGCATGTCAACGCCCTTGTTCTGTCTGTCGGTCACTTTTTCATGGTCACTTATTATATAACATGTACCGACCCGGGGCTGTTTTCTCAGGAATACTTTCATGTGATGTGGAGTCTTGGCCGTGCCACCCAGGTTGGCTTTTCCCTGGAGTCTCTAGCCTCTCATGGGTCCACAGGCAGGGTCCACCATATTTTACTAGAACGGTCTTTGTAGAAAGCAGCATTCTGAGACACCTATGTCTTCAAGATGTAAGTAAAGTGGTCTTGCACGTCTTAGCCAGAATCACATTACTTCAATGAAGCAGCAAGGACGCATGGCCAAACGCCCAGGTGGGCACTTCTGCAGGGAAGTCCTTTCCCAGGAAATGTCTGAAAGCAATCTTGTTTTGAGTCTCATGATCTCATCATTTCGTTTGGGGTTAGGGCAAACCTTATGTAGGCTTCTACTGAAAGCAGTATAATGTTGTTGTTGTTTTTTTTTTAATGTTGGAACTTTCTTTTTATTTCAGTTCTTACCCGTTTTGTGATCATGTTGGCTTTAAATATATGGGTAACAGTAACAGTACTGCACTACCGGAAGCCTATTACCAAAGCTGAATGATGGATGTATTCCTTCTACACACAGTGGACTTCAAATAACTCAACCAGGGGATGCACCGTTGCTTTCCATTGCTACAGTTAAAGTCTTTTACTAGTTAATCATATCAAAAACTTTAAATCAGTCTTGAAAAGCTTCTTAGCTAGATATGGAGGTGCAAACTTACAATCTAGCACTTGGGAGTTTGAGGTAGCTTGTGCTACATGGCAGATGGGACTCAGAGAAGGAAAAAGCCACTTGTTTAAAATTGCCCATTTCCTTGCCCTGCACCCACATTGTGGTAGGACTTAGATACTGGTGTATGTGTGTGTGTGTGTGTGTGTGTGTGTGTGTGTGTGTGTGTGTGTGTGAGAGAGAGAGAGAGAGAGAGAGAGAGAGAGAGAGAGAGAGAAGGGTCTCACTATGTAGCCAGCTACCCTTCAACTTGTGATCCTCCTTCCTCCGTCTTCTGAGCAGCAAGAATGCTGGACTACAGAGGGAACCGACCACACCTGGCTTGACACCCGCAATGGTGGATGCTGCCCAAGAAACCCTTAAAGTCATGACTAAGTTCTTTTAGAGTCTTAAATAGTTTTCCCACAATTAGTGGGGTCTGCTTAGTCACACCTGGGCAGTTTAACCCTTCCATGACCAAGGGCTTGGCCTTGTATGTCATAAAGCACTGTAACATCCCTTCAAGGCAAGCAAGGCTATCAGAGTGTTCCCACACTTAACAGTGTGCCTTAAGGAGTTCCAGACAGAGCTCTGATCTCTGTTTAGGTGAGGAAATCTTGATGGCCTTCCAGATTTAAGCACAATGCAGCTTTTTTTTTTTTTTTTTTTTAAAGAAGGTGCTGTACCTCACAGTTACATTGCTGGAACTTAGTACAGGTTTTAGCTACTGCAAGATATGCATTAAAAAATGTTGCTAAGTCATACCCAATTCTTGGGTATTTTATTCTTACTAAAGTAACGTATCTTAAGCACTGTTCACAGTACTTCCTCTGATGTTTTATAAACCTGACACTTAAAAGTACACTTTCTTATATGTGCATATCATTATTCTGCCATACTATCAGTAATGATGTTTATTGGAAAATGCTTAGTTTCTTGTATAAAATAAGACTTTCATTTATTGAATTCCACTGATCTTAACTGTCATGAATTTTCAGTTATGTAGGTAAAGCTCCTCAATAAGCTAGCTAATCTTGTTAGGACGATTGCCCTAGACCCAGGAGAGAAATTTTACATCTAAACATCAACCAGTGTCAGAAAACAAAACCCAAGTTCATCTCCCACACACTGATAATCAGACCATTAGTTTAATATAAATTATGGTCTTACCCCAACAAGAGTTTTAGGTATATTCAAACAGCACTTTTACCACTGCTTACAGCACTTCTTTAAAAAAAAAAAAAAAAAAAAAAAAACTTCCCCTTTTGTAGGCCAAGCTGGCCTCAAACTCAGCTTTCTGCCTCCACCTGTTCAGCAAATCCCACCTCTGGAGGGAACATCTGGGTGACTGTAGCCATCTCACATGCTCTACCATCTTTCAAACCGACAGTCCTGAAAGGCAGACACGGTCTTCAGATGAGTTTATTCACAGAATACCCAACCTGAGACCAGAGGACGGCCAGTGCTTACCAAGGAAGTACCTTCTAGAAGACGCCCACCACTCACTATTTTCAGACAGAAAGGCACCCTGTGTCCTCTACCCTCCACACCTGGAACCAGATATGTGAGTCTGCAAGCCCACAGTGACTCAGGGGCAGAAGCGTTCCTCTATGATGACATCACCCCACCTTCTATCAGCACCCTTTAGAGAGACACATTAAGAAGCTGCAGCACTGCACAACTACTGCACAGGAAAAGATGCTTACATTTAGGTTCTTTTATTTATTTTTCTTAAACAAAAAGCAGGCATAAAAATACAATTACATTACTACAAAGATGCAACAAAATAAAAATAAATCAAGAGGGTATGATTTTTTTTTTTTGTTCAGGGGGACGGCTGATCAAAGATGACTCTCTAAATCATGCAGTTTATAACTTATTGCAGTTCTAAACAAAAGTCACCACAGGGAAGGGAACAAAAGGCCCCAGGGCACAGCACTCAGCACTGTCACACAGCGCTGGTCAAAGTGCTCTAACATTGGCTGTGGCGCCTTCACGAGCCAGGGGAACTGAAGCCACCTTCAGGCAGGAAAGGAGAATCAGTAGCAGTCAAGGGGCCTGAGAGCTCGGAGGCTACTTGTTCTACTTGGGGTTTCGGCATGCTGCTCTTGAGCATCTCTCTGTAAGGTAAGTTGGTATCTGAGATTCTTCACATCACCCCGGGAATCCTAACAGACTGATGGCAGCAGCAGGAACCTCAAGCACTTCTCACCAGATCTACACATGAACTGATGCAGAGCCTCCTCTAGGATCCATGGCCTCCCAAAGGTCGGCCAGAAACACCAGGCTTTCCTTGGGATTACCAGCTCACTCATCCTTTAGTTAACTGGGGCATTTGAAACTTTCAACTGAACTTTTCTTCTTTTTTGCTTTTCTAAAAGCAATGCTTAAAAATTAATTTTACATTAATTTTCATCAGTAATACCGGAACTTAGTTTTTCTTTTACTTCTGTTTTTATTTCCACAAAGCAAAAGTGTCCAACCAAGGAAACTTGGCATTCCTTTCTTTTAGATCCCAATTGGAAGTATTTATGGCTCTGAGACAAATTGAATAAAGGAAGCAACATTTGCTCTGATAACCATCTATCTAGAAGGTTTGGGAGCCTCAAGAAAAAGCAAAACTGGCACAAAATTAGGTTGCTCTTGTAATGACCATTGGGTTGGGAAGAAAACTGGCAGGTGTGTGCACTGACGTGCATGCAAATGACAACAGGGAAAAACAAATCCCTTCTGACTTCTCTAAGGTCAGCTTTTTTAATCAAAATTCTGTTACTTGGACAAATGACCTTATAAATCCCTATGTTAAATCTCTCCATGGAGAGGTTTTTTGCCCCTCAGAATGTTTTATTCCCCGGAATCCTTCACATTAATTGCCTTGTACAGTTGCATCACACCATGATTCTCCAATCTCTAATACATATATACATGCACAGCATTCAAAATTTAAACTCCTGCCTTTTTTACTCAAATACTTCAATTATTCATTTGTAAACTTGACATTATTTCACCTTAATAAAGTTTATTAAAAATATATATATATATACTCTCCAATTCAGAATAGGATAGAACCTCCCATAGTGTAACAAAATCTTTATATAAAATATTAATTCAGTCTCCTTTTAAACAACTCTAATGAATGGAAATAGTTCTTCTATATAAATTTTATATATTTTCATTTTTAAATCTGAAGAGAAAGGGAGGGAAGGAGGGAGGGAGGGAGGGAGGGAGGGAGGGAGGGAGGGAGGGAAGGAAGCTGTGTTCTCAACCAGAGCTACAGAGCACAGCTTGCTTCCAGAGAAATGGCATGCACATCTATTAAGAAATGGAACGAAAGATGCAACTGGGCCACCTGAAGGTCACAGATTGGGATTTAGTATACCAGTAGGCCAAAGGCCACTATTCCATAATAAAATCTATGAGGATCAAACTTTTTACAACATTTCTACACTGACCCCAGAGGGAAGCAATGAAAACTGTCTCCTGGCTTCACTGAAATAGGCAAACATTTCAATATCATATTGAACTTTGCATATGTACAGAGCCTGATGCTGCCCACTGCTACACTCTGCTGTGGGGTGAAGCACACTTACCTGGGCCCACAGCACAACAGGATCTATCCTGCCTGTTCTCTAACGTCAGCAGCATTTAACAATGAGAATCAAAGTAAGCGCTTTTGAGGCTGCCTCTTCCCAAATAATCAAAGCTGATATACCACCATACAGTTGTTTGTTTCAGGATAATATTTAAATATTAAAATATATATACAATACATGTTAGTTTTCTTAATATTTGAGACAATTTTTGAATCTTAAATGAAAATGTGAAAAACTGCCTTTACCATAAATAAAAATGTATCTGGGGTAACCAGCAAGTTCAAAGCAAAGGAGATAGTTTGTAGTCACAGACTAGCTGAAGCCTGTAAAAAGGGATCGCACACGTTAGTTCCAATGCAATCCGCTATTGTTTCTATGACCAATAGGCCGACACTGACACAACTACTGTGTAAAAGAGTGCACTATTTTCCCACAAAGCCTAAGAGCCGCGGCCTAAGAGCTGGTAAACACTGTTCTTTCTTGTCTTAAATATAGAAAAGGGCTGAGATTTGGGGGGCAGGGAAGAAATTAAATTAAGGCATTCAAAAATGGATAAAGTTGTCTACCACAGGCATTAGGAAACTGGAATAATTAACTTCAAACTTCTTATTACAGTTAACTGTTTACACAAACATGCATCTCCTATCAGGTACACGGATGAAGGATATAAATTCCAACAGTATGGCTTTATACAAGTGCATAGTTGCAACTGAAGTAATGATATCTGATTAATGTGTATAAAAAATAAAATGGTAAGTTAAAAATACCTTCTTGCAGTATTACAGTACAATGTGCTTTTATGTGTGGTGTGTGTGTATATATATGAGGCTCAACTCATATGTACATACATACATGAACATAACATCATGGTCACTTCTTAAAGATGCAGTCAGCATCACTGTAGTGGGATCCATTCCCAAATTCTTTTGGCCGATGTGCTGGTGGAAACCCTCTGTTGAATCCAAAATGTGATTTCTTTAAGCTCTTCTCAACCTTTCTGTGCAATGTAGTGTGACTGCCAAGAGCTTGCAAGTCTTGAAGAGTTGCATGACACCTTTACTCACCAATCACTGCTGTTCGGCTTGTTGCAAAACAGCCCAGAAAACTTCTCCATGATGTAAAATGATTTCAGGGGAAACATGTATGTTTGTGTGTGTGTGTGTGTGTGTGTGTGTGTGTGTGTGTGTGTGTGAGTCTCTCAGTAGAATACAGCTTTTTAGTTAAGTTTTGAGACATCATATTTCAGTCTTCTGGCTGGAAGAATACGATCACTTAAATAACTGCTTTCATAGAAGGCAGTTAGCTAGAAAGGAAGGAAAATAATGTTAGTTGATACATCCAAGTTAAGAGAAATTAAATTCCCTGAAAAAACATTTTACTTTTATCATTAAACTATATTCTCTGTATTTCTAACACTCAATTCATGCATCAACATACTTAATTCTATTACTTTACTTAGTTTTAGGTAATTACATGCAATTACATTCTTTCTAAATAAATGGACTTTCTAAGACCCATATCGGCCATAAACATTTAATGCAGTTAATCAGTTATATTAGGGTTAAAACACTGTGCTAAAGCAGTGGTTCTCAACCTGTGAATAATGACCACTTTGGCAAACCTCTACCTCCAAAAATATTTACAATTCATAACAGTAGCAAAATTGCAATTATCAAGTAGCTACAAAAATAATTTTATGGTCGGGGGGTCACCACAGCATGAGAACCACTATACTACAAGGATCTTATTTGAGCACTGATCTACTAGCTGCCTTATATAGCCAAAAAAGCAGGATTTCTGGACAGGCTTTACATAGTTAGTTACAGGACCTCAAGTCACATTTTCCATATCTATAAAATAGGAATAAAGGGCTAGACTCTAGCCTCTAGAGTATAGCTCAGGGGTAGAACACTTGTCTAGCAAGCCCAAGGCCCTGGGTTCCACTCTCCCCTGCCACAAAACAAAACAACGCTAAAAGGGGAACAAATACACTGTAGTGTGTGTGTATAAAGACAGTCACAGCCTATATACAGAGGTCACATCATAGTATCACATGATCTAAGTACATGCCATCACAACATGCTCAGTTAAGACAAATAGTTGCCTACTTGAAGATTTAAAGTCATGAGGTTTAACTTTCATTCAGTCTTGTTATTAATTAAGGAAACCATTCTGAACACTTTTCCATCCTCTGAGGCAAGGTCTCACTTGCACTGGTATGGACCTCACAAGCCTTGTCTCAGCCTGTTGAGTGTGAACTGTGGCCTCGCATATTGCAATGACAAGGTCTCATGCAACCTAGACTAGCCTCAAATTCACTATGTAGCTCGAAGATAACCTTGAATTTGCCATTTCTTGGCTCCCCACTGCTCAAGTGCTGGGATTACAAGTGTGCCAAAATGTCTGGCTTTACATTTCTTAAAAGCACAGAATTGTTCACAGCATGTCACTCATATTCTTATTTTAGCAAGGGTAGTATTAAATTCTTGCAAACATTTCATTGTATTGCAAAGAAAAATCAGAAAGATACATCACTGAATTTATCCGATTTATAGTTTTTATGGTTTTAATTCTTGTAAGTTAGAAAGAAGAAAGGAGAAGGAAGGAGAAAGAATGAAGGAGAAAGAATGCTATGTTCACAAACTAGTCTGAGACTGAAAACACTGTTAAGTTTTAATACTCTGACTGGAGAGATGGCTCAGTGGTTAAGAGCACTGCCTGCTCTTCCAAAGGTCCTGAGTTCAATTCCCAGCAACCACATGGTGGCTCACAACCATCTGTAATGAGGTCTGGTGTCCTCTTCTGGCCTGCAGACATACACACAGACAGAATATTGTATACATAATAAATAAGTAAATATTAAAAAAAAAGTTTTAATACTCTGTATACAGCTTCTTTGGAATGAATCAACGGTACCAGAGCTTTTTCCTTTTTTTATTTCTCCATACTTAACTTGAAAGATAAAATATTTTAATTTCAAATTAAATTGATAGCCAATAAAGAATCTGAACATAGCATTTCACTTACATTTGCTATGGAAATTCTAGTTAGAAATATTTCTGAAAACTACTTTTTAATCATATCCTACTAAAAACATTATAAAATTTCAAAACTAGTTCAAAAAAAGAAAAGAAAGTCCAAGTGCAAACCACATGCACTACATGGAAGTACTAAGAACTCAATCATTTTGATTTACCCATTTATTTCTTCAGAAATCAAAAACATCGTCATCATCATCACCATCAACATCATCAAATGACCAATCCCAGTCTTTAAATGCCAAATCAAGCAATCTGTAACAGGAGGTTGGCAAGTTTATAGCTCTGATCTTTACAGACTGCAGAACGTAGAGAGTACTACAGCTGGAGTGTGCTGAGTACTAGAAGTTTTCCTTGTGTGGTGGTGCACGCCTTTAATCCCAGCACTGTGAGTTAAAGGCCAGCCTGACAGACAGAGTGAGTTCCAGGGCAGCCAGGGCTACACAGGGAAACCCTGTCTCAGGTAGTGGGGGGGGAGGGGGAGGAAGGGGTGTCCCTTCAGGAGCAGCATAGCCAACAGTTCCAATGGAAACATCCAGTAAATTTTTTCTTTAGGTGTGGGCAGGTGTGAACATGCTGACTGGGCACAATGAAGAAGGGCTCTCTGGGGGAACCCAAAACAGATACTACTTGGGCTAAGAATATAATTTGCTCTTTACACTGATTCCTACTGTCCAGATAAAGATGTAGCTACACTGATTTTCAGTTTGAGAAGTATAAAACAAACTACATTATCAGTTGACAGTTGCCATTTCCTGTTGCTTAATAAATTACACCATAAAAGATAAAACTTTGGAAGGGATCAACAAGGGGAACACAGATCTCTCAACTCTTGAATGACCCCCTACCTGCTGAGTGGCTCACCAACAGCTATGTTCTAATATGGAAACCAGGGCAGAGAAAACATGGAAGAGGCATTGTCCATGTAACTCGCTAAATGAATTGGACATAAAACAGGAAGATGAATCGTGTCTTTTTAATTAGAAATCTTAATTAACACACTACTCTTCCTTCAGATTATATAAACCTTTAGCTTTTTAAAAATTAAGCTCATTTATTTATTGTATGTGTGCATACATACAACATGGAAGTTGCCTGAAGGTCAGAGAACAATTGTGGGAATAATTTCTCTACTACCATGTGGGTCCAAGGTATGGTGCCTTTACCCAATAAGTAGGTTATCTCTTCACCCTTGATCTGTTTCTTCCTACTAAATAATCTATACTGTAACAACACCTTAAGACTGGGGGTGGGGGGAACTTTAATTATTCTTAACTATGATGCTCATGAATTTTTGCCAAGAAACTTTCTGGTCCCCAAGGTTATATCTGTGAATACCAGTCAGTGGCTTTGAACTTGAGTGTGTATAACTTACCCAGTAATCTCAGACCTCATTCTTAGATCTGGATATGATTTGCAGAAGTAGAAAGGTCTCATTATTTGCATGTTTAAATAAACTGAATAATTTTTTTATTCTGTTTTTGTTTTTTTTTCAGACGAAGTCTTATGCAGCCTAGGCTGGCCTCAAGCTTACTGTGTAGACCAGGCTTAGCCTTGAACTCCTAATCCTCCTGCCTCTGCTTCGCAAATTGTAACATTACAGGCATGCACTACCATACCCAAGTTTTACTTGGTACTCATGTTTGCATGAGTGCTCTTACTCTCTGGGCCATTTCCCAGTCCCCTAGAATTGCAAATTTATATTAAAACTATAAATACTAGGTTATTTGTGCAATTATGTCCTTAAAACATCTCTTCATTTTCTTCCACTCAGTCACCTAATTCTGGTTATTTCTACTTAAAAATCTTTATTAAACTTTTTCTTCTACACATTTTTTTTTACTATCAGTTCTCAGTTTATACGTCAGTAAGTCATTGAGAAACTGACATTAAAACAATTATGTGAGAAATCGGTATTAAAACAAGTCAAACTTCTTTGCAAAAATCTATCTATCCTTTTTAATTGGATCCAGGCTTGCTCTCCAGCATCAAATTACCACTGTTACTGCCTGTTACTCTGTCCTTCCCCAGTCTCAGCACAACATAACATTGCAGATAAAAAGTACGGCTTTAATTTAACTTAAACTCAGTAAGGTTGAGTCTTTCTTTTTGTAGAGACAGGGTCTTGCTATGTAGTCCTTGAACTCAGATCTGCTTGCCTCTGCCTCCGAAGTGCTGGATTAAAGACGTGTACCACCTGACCAAGAACACACTCTAAAAGTAGCACTTCCAAACCATCTTTAAACTGTCCAATTCTGCTTACGTCATTGTCAAACAGCAGACTTTACAGCTACGAGTGCAGACATTGAGTCTAGAGTATTTGGACCTAAACACCTGGTCCTTGGGCAATATGGTCTTTTTGATGCACTTAGGAGGGAGAAAAGGCAGGTCTGTCTAGATATGACCACTAGATCTATCTGTTGGAAATTGATTCCCAGGTGGCAGTGTTGAAGAGCAGGCCCTTAGGAGGACATTTCAGTCATTTCAGAGATGAGTGGGTTCCTTGGGGATAGTTCTGTTATACAAAGCAAACTTTCTCCGCTCATGAAGCCCTCTGCCAAGTTATGGTGCAAGAAGCCTTCACTGGATGCTAGTGCCATGCTGCTTAGATGTCCTAGCCTCCAGAACCATGTACTAAATAAACCTATACTTTTTAATGTTACCCAATTAGATATACAGAGTATAAGCACAGAAGACAGAGATAAAGTATTAATTAAAACAGCATTTATGCATTAACAGTTGTACAATATTAATAATAAAAACTTAATTTTTAGACATTTTATACAAAATGGACTTCTGTGTTTGTCTCTCAATTCTTTTAAGGTTTTTAAGTAAGATTTATTTATTTTCTTTTTTTGTAAAAACAAACCCTGGGCCTGGGGTTATATGCAGCTGTTAGCCACCTGAAGCAGGTGCTATGAGCTAACTTCCTCTTTAAGAGTAGTAGTTGTCTGAGCAACCTCTCTATCCTCCTTTAGAGACCTTTGTTTTGGCCTCTTCTTAACTGCTGTTATCTCCCCCAACACTCTGTGTGCTCATTCACGTTCCTAAATCCAACCTGCTCAGTGCGTACCTTTTGAGAACCTTTAGCTTAATTACTATCATGTAGTCAGTATTTTACATTAATATTTCTTTTGTTTTGAGACAAGATCTTACAATGTAGCCCTGACTGCCCTGGAATTCACTCTGTAGACCAGGCTGGCCTCAAATTCTCAGAGATACACCTGCCTCTGCCTCCCAAATTCTGGGATTAAAGGTGTGTGCCACCATGCCCAGCTAATTTTTATCATATTTCACACACAAAATATCCAACCATTTTGCTACTGAAACACCAAATCTACTTTTGTCATTCTAAATTATTTCCTGGAGATATTACTTCCAGAAGTTTCATATGAGAAGTCTGATAACAAAAGCAAAACACATTATCAATTATATACTGAAGGTCCTGTGTTAGGCAACAAAGCAGCTGAAATCAGATCTCTGACCAACCTAAGATTCTGTCCATCAGCTAACCAAACCTTCATCTCCAATGGAAAGCCATGTTTACAATTGTCTGGTACCTAATAAGCCAAGAAACTGTACTTCTGAATCCCAATGTAATGTGACTTCAGTCAGTGAAGCCATATAAAATGGTTTCAGCATTTCTCTATATCAAGATCACCCTTGATACTTCAGTTCCAAGCAGTGCCCATGTCACTCAGTTCATCTCAAGCTGAACTGTACTGCTCTTTAAAACACACTGTTTTGCACTAATCAATGTAAATTAAAATTGAAACTGCTTTCAGTTCTGCTTCTCAGATTATCTAGCTAAAAAAAGTTTGTAACGTGTGTGTGCACCTCATACGTAAACATCTGTGTATAATCTTAATGCCATTTTTCAAATCACTAATTAGTCCATGTGCTTATTAAGGATGAAAATAGCATGATTATATACAAAAGTAATAAAATATCACCTTTAGATTTTGGTTGAATTTAATATCTGTAACTTCAAAAATATATTTTTTTAGCCACATCAGAGAATAAGACATACACACTGTAAGTTTAAAATATTTGGTTTCCAATGATTCATTAAAATATCAAGAAAAGGAAAATCATAATTATCCAAGTTTTTAGTTTGATATAAAAAGCAACTTTTTTTGTGTATGTGGTTTTTTTCAAGACAAGGTATCTCTGTAGCTTTGGTGCCTGTCCTAGAGCTAGCTCTTGTAGACCAGGCTGGCCTCGAACTCACAGAGATCCACCTGCCTCTGCTTACTGGGTGCTGAGACTAAAGGCGTGCGCCACCACCGCCTGGCTATAAAAAGCAACTTTTAAGAAAGCAGCTTCAACTTTTCTACCATATTTTACTTATTACCTTGGTTTGTTTGGAGCAAGCTGTCGACTGGGTCGCCGGATAGACTGGTTTTGTTGTATTTTCATTGAGGTCCTAGGAGATGATCGGGCAAAAGGGTCTGGAGCTGGAGGTTTCTTAGGTATCTTTTTCACCAACCGACTAACCCATTTCTGCTGTTCTTCTGTTGAATTTGCTAATAACAATAGATTCTTTGCCGATGATATGTCATAATAAACTACAAAAAGAATTATTTGAAATAAATTAATGTGTTTAAAATGACCCAAGCCCAAGTAAAGCACAGCAAGCACTTCCCAGCTCACCTTTGCAAGGTGCTATGATCTCCTCCTTCTTGTCCATGTGATCTTTGTGACATTTAATGTGACACCGACGGCACTCCAGAGCAGGAGGTGGTTTAAACATGTGCCACAGTGGCTTCATACAGGCCTCACAGTTAGTTGGGAAGTGATAAAGAGTAGGAATAAACTCATGTCCTTTATGGCAAATATAATTAGATTTTTCTCCCACAGGCTCCACTGGAAATTCTGGTTCCTTCTTACTTTCTCCTTCATTGGCATACAGAATCTATAAATACCAAGAGGACAGAAGTGACTGTTACACACTTTTAAAAGATTTATTTATTTTATTTTATTAATATTTTTCCTTCATGTTTGTATGTGCACCACATGCATGCCTGGTATTTCAGAGGTTAGAAGAGGGCATCAAATCCCCTAGAACTGGAACACAGATGGCTGTGAGCCACCACTCTGGTGTTAGAAACCAAATCCAAGTGTTTTTTTTTTTTGTTTTGTTTTGTTTTAACTTCTGAGGCGTCTCTCCAGGTCCTGCATTATGTTATTTTTATACAGAAACATTTCTGATAAACTACTCTTGCATCACACTAAAAAAATTGATGTGTTTAAACAGGACCTCCTTATTTTTGCTTTAGTATCTGATAGCAAAACTATCAGGATAGGCTAACTAAAGGCAAATTTACACTTGAATAGGTGGGTTTCCCCTTTCACTCCTCTAGGAGTGACTCATTTAGGGCTAGTAGTATAGTTCAGTGGAAGGTCAAAACTCTAGGTTCAGTCTCCAGTGTCCCTCCTATCCAAACAACGAAAGTCCAATATGACACTACAATAATTGCTTACATTTCTTAAGAAAAAAGTGGGTGAAATATATGCATTTTCATTTTAAAAGATATTTGGAGAGTTAAGGGATAAAAGGGAGACGATATGCAAATAAATGCCCAAATAAAATTGCATAAGTACTCAAGAAAAGAAAAGGAAAAAAAAAAGGACAACTCCCCTACAATGGATTGGGCACAGCGGTTTTGATAGAGCACTTTAATACTTTTTTAAAAAGGTGTGTGTGTGTGCATGCGCACACGCACAGGTGCACGCACACATGTGCCCACACAGTGCCTGTGGAGATCAGAAAGGGGCATTGGATCCTATGGAACTGGAGTAACAGGTGTTTGTGAACTATCTGGTGTGAACGCTGGACCTCTGATGGAGAAGTAAGAGCTCTTACCAAGCCATCTCTCCAGCCCTATGGTTTGAAGGCTTTTTAAACAGGAGCAGGAAAAGTAAAAGCTCGCCTTCACTTTAAATAAACAGAAAAAGTGCTACTGCTTCCAAACTGAAATTTTTAAAATTTCCAGAGTTGATAATAAAACCAAAACAGGAGTAAGTTCACGCTCTAAAAAAACCACCACCCATCTTGTGAAAGGGCCAACAAAGCCCAGAGGCATAACATAAACTAGCAAACACCACCATCAGGATAGAGCTGTCCTCAGACAGAAGCAGCACACTGTAAAGAGCCAAGCATCTCAACTGGGGTGTGACACAAGGGAGAGTGTGAAGCAGTCCTAGGCCAGTGAAGAAAGGGATCTAAAGCATCATGTCACATAAAGAACACAAACACTATCTTTACCTGGAATATTCTTGGAATTTCTTTAGCATCTGCTCTGTATACATCTGTCTGGGTAACGGGTCGGACATGAAACAGCTTGCTATAAAAGGTTTTTAAATAAAGGAGTAAGTAAAATGTTACACAAGGATTATATTACATTGGTCATTTTATGCCAGAAGTTAAAAATCAGCTATTTTATTGACTGATGTTAGATGCTCTTCGACAAGGTTGGTTTTTGTTGTTGATTTTTTTGAGACAGAGTCAGTCTCACTATCTCACTATGGCTGTCCTGGAACTCACTATTGTAAACCAGGCTGCCTTCAGAGATCCACCTGCATCTGCCTTTCACGTCAGGATTAAAGGCGTACATCTATTGTTTTATTGTTTAAATAATTTTTAAGATAAATTTTCAAGGTGAACTTTCTTTAAATAATAGTGTATTAAACCATGAAATACAGGTGTCTTGCACACTAAACACCATCAACTTTCATTTCTACAAAGGAAATCAAAGGAAAATTGTTGCACTAGGAGCATGAAAGGTGTGCTGTGATTGTTGTGATGGACAAGGCTCTATTATTCAGACTCTACATGAGACACTTACTCTATATCTAGAACCATGTAAGGGTTAGACTGCTCTTTATCTTGTTCGCTGTCATAGAAGAGAATCTTCTTACTGCTTACAATCACATACTGTTAAAAATAGGAAAGAGAGAAACTTATCAAATTACTGTGCACTGTATTTTCTTTTACAAGAGATTCTGTATTTGTGATAAAGTCATATGCTATGCAAGTAAATAAAAAGCAGGAATGCTGTTTTAGAGAAGTTTTCCTTAAGGTAACAGGTTTCTATTTGTAGAAGCTTTAAATAAGTAAATGAGGGGAAGAAACAAATGAAACTGAAATCATACCTACTTTAAGATTTGGAATCTACACATAGAATCGCATCACCTTGATCAAACATGAACAGCCATGGTAACACAAGTATCAAGTATCAAGGGTCTTTCTATCACATCTGGAGGAGTTTTCCATGGGACACAAAAGCACCAGAAGAACAAACTTCTAATTATGACCTCAGAACCCATTTTAGAAATGACCCAGAGAGTAAGTCTTTTACACAGAAAACAAGTCACATCAACCCACACCAGAAAGCATAAGCAGGTTTTATGTGTCCGGACATGCAGGCATGTCCACCCTACAACTCCAGAAGGAAAATGGCTATAGTTAAATCGGAAGCTAAAAGAACCACATTCAAAAGTAATGATTACCTTTTTAACCCATCCAAACTTTTTAGTGTTGTTCCGCACAGGCAATGACAACCATCCTTCTAATCTTGATTCTGTAAATAAACAATACATGAATATAAATACAATGATCCTCCCCGACAATGAAGAATTCAATAAAACTTTAATGTGGAAGTCACAAGCCAATCAAGCCTGCCCTTTAGAATTCAGACCATAAAGTACCCAAACTACTATAATAAAGCATAATCAGTAGAATCACATTCCACAACGCAAAACAAAATCAAGGTCACATCAGAAATAAATACTCCAAATTATAACATCAAATACTCCATTGATTAAATTCATGCACTGGCAAAATTCAGGAGAAAAGCATCACAAGAGCCACTGAGGTCTTTTTACTGCACATCTACACCAAGCAGTCCACTCTTCTTGTGGGGATGACTAGAGGTGCAAAGTGCACTGTTGAGTAGAAAGCTCTTTAAATGAGTATGTGTTCAGAAAATATGGAATTTTAGAACGACTATTCTAATTGTGTACAATACATAGCAAACCTGTTTAACAAGGAACAATATAACCAAAATTTCTAAGCTCTAAAATATCAAAATAAGTAAATCTTAAATCAACAAAAGAAAGTATCTTAAGTCCTGGGGCTCTTATTATAAATTTAGTATTTTTCAAATGAAATTAGCAAGGGGGATGTCATTCTAAGAGAATATTTTAATACTACAAGTTACTACAGATTTTAACTGTTATGCTCCAACTGTACTAGATGCTCTACACAAGCTCTCTATGTCCACAGCTCCCCACAACAGAACTCTAACCCACAGGCAGATGAGGAGACTGGAGCCTAGAGAGATCACTGAGAACTCTGGGAGTTCAGAAGATGCTCTTGGACTCTTCACTATTTCACCTGGGAGGCTTTTCAGGTAAGGACCAGACCGAATTGTTCCCTGTGCACACTATGAGCATGTACATATTCAGTGAAAGCCTGACCGCAGTCTCTGAAGCAGTCATAGGATTTTGTTCTCTTCTGTACTGTCACTCTTGATACAGAACTACAGAAAAGTTGTCTGAAAACAGACAAAGCCATGCACTTTCAAGGATATACAACATTCTGTTTCTGGAAAGTTGGCTAAAAATCAAACAATCTAGCAAATACAATCACAAGCTATTTTAAAAATGCTTTAAAATCAAATTGCAGTTCATGCAGCAGATTTTTCACTCCATCTACACAGTATGTTGAGTGAGTGGATTGTTAGTTAATATCATAAAAAGATTTTCAAAAAGATAAAATTAAGTAGCTGGGAAAACTCCAAAGACAGAAAGATTTTTCAGGATGTCACCTGCACCATTAGGCTCCGATGAAATGGGTAAATAAGGCAAAGAATCGTCTTCAGAGTCAGAATCAAGAAGCGTGTGAGAACTGGAGGGCTTAGTGGCAATATTGAGAGAAGTAGAGGAACGTTGGTAGGTGAAGGACATGGATTCCATAGTGTGTGACTGAGTGATATGAACTAAATGCCCACAAGTAAGAAGCAAGGCAGAGCAGAGAGAGAGAAAAAATGAAAGCTTAAAAGACAGATACTACATCACATAAGAGCTAAACATCCAATCATTTACAATTTCATTACATGTCTATTTTTAACAAAACAAGTCCAAAATGTCATGTGAATCGCTACTCCAAAAAGGTTTTCCCTTAAAGAAATGATCAATATTTTTTCAAGAGCAAAGTCAGGTCATGGAACTTAAAAGCAATCAGATGATCTAAATGTCAGGCAAATACAAGGGCTGACCAAGAATGTGTACCTGGAAATCCATCATCAGGCTCAACATCCCCTGGTCCGCTGCCTATACTGGAGCTGTCCATACCGATATGCAAGGCCTGCAGCTGTGAACGCAGCTGTTCAATGTCACTGTCTTTACTGTCCAGAGTCATCTGGAGTTCAATTCGAATCTGGCTTTCTTCAGCTATTTGCTGTAAGAAAATATATTAACAAATGAGATAAATATTATGAGTGTTGGCCATAGTTCAGTAATAACTGCTAATAGAAATGTTCTGCAACCACCCAGAAAAGGAAATAATTCTGTTTTAAAGAAATGTTTTCAGTGTAAGCATGTTCTTACAGCCTGCATTTCATTCAGTTCTTTCTGGTATTTGATCATCTGTTGTGTCAACTTTTCACGTTCAGACTTAAGCTCCATATGTAGTTTTCTGTTCTCTTTCTCTTTTCTTCGCACATCTGTGTCACTACCACGCTTGACAGGTTCTTTTCGATTCATGATCTCTGCCAACTTATTCACAGCCTTAAAAAAAAAATAAGCATTTAGCAAATAATTATGCTGATGTTTTCTCAGAAACCCACCAATTGCAAGCTACATGATCACCAATAATTCCTCTCCTATACACAGGGCTATAAAGAAAACACTTTTAGCTTGTGGAAATGGCCCCAGTAGAATTTGTAACAAGTTCCACAGACTGAGGTGAAAACTTCAAAAGAAGGAGGCCTCCTGGAACTGGTTGTGGAACTCGTGGCCGGAGTGAAATATTAAGCCATAGTTCTCATGGCCATTTGTTTTATCTTCTTCTATTCTCTTTTCATATTTACAAGATGTTCCTGATAACCTACACTGAGACTTCAAGCAAGAAACCATTCCTTGAGATGGTTGGTAACCATAACCTTATCTCCGTATAACCAGCGCTTTACTTCATAAATTATTTTCAAAATTATAAAATAAGTCTAAAACTTTCCCATTAAAAATTTCATGACTGTACATATGTCATCAAAAATGGGCCTAGGTATATAGTAGAGAAAGCCCTAAGCAAAAAGAATCAATAGTTTAAATTTACATCTTGAAGATTTACAAAGACCAGATACTAGTTGTTAAACAATAACTGACCATAAAAATTTATCAACCTGTTCTTGGATATGTGCCATTAGCCTTGGATGATTTTACGTTTTACTTTGCCAAATGACAATGATGTTATCTGTTCTATCCGTGATTGCTTCATTAAACACATCTTTTAAGAATTTCAGTATCTGTTTCACTATGTATAAAAATTCTTGTTTGAAAGCTGCAAAATACACTCGGATTCAAACTGCCTCTGTGTTTGATTCTATTTGTCATCGCCGAATCCTTAACCACCAAGCCCTCAAGGACCCTCGTCCCAGGGATCCCAGTACCCGACTGGGGTGGTCCATGGCATCCATCCTGTATTCTAAATATTTTTTTATTCTCATGACTTTTGAGAATGATAATTGAAAGTGTTTGAAGGGTTGTGAGTGTAGCTTGGGTAGAATGCTTGCCTAGCGTATGCCAGGCCTTAGGTGTGTTCCTCACTAAATCACATGCTTGATATCATTTTCCACTAATCCAACTTTTATTATAAGAGAGATTTTAATGGGCAAATGTTCCTCCTTCTATCTGGAGGAAGTGAATTCTGCCTTGGCACTAAAAAGTACTTTGTCCAACAACAGAGAATAGTACTAGCACCCACATGTTTTCCTACAAATCCAACTGTAGGAGCTGGCAGAGAGGTGTCAATCATCACATGTGCCCTTTCAGACCACCTGACACTTTTCAGCCTATTAGCAAATAATAAAAAGCTGGGAGAATGTGGGACATATGAAGTTTCTTCTAACTTGACAAAAGTAAACCAGGAAATTCTTTAAACACTGGTATTACAATGAGCACCGTTTCTGCCTCTAGAGCTAGAAGTGACAGGTGACAGGAATGAAAACAAAATTCAGAATTGCATTTGCATTCTGGTGACGTACTTGAGTCTTGAGTGTTCTCTCAGTCAACAGCTGTTTCTCAAACTGAGCTTTAATAGCTGCTGCACTGATCTCTTCATCTTTCAACTTGGAGAGTTCTGAAAAAAGAGATATTAAAATTACACCAATAACTACAGCTACTAGGTATGTTCACAGTAAGCTCTCTTCCTGCTAATACATACGCTCTTGAGTGTCTTTCAGCTTGTTGTTTAGTTCTTCTTTCTCGTTTGCAAGATTTGCAACATCACTAGTTAGTGTCCTATTTGTTTCTTCGAGCTAAGAAACACAAGTGGGGGGAAAACCAACGTATTAATTTACAAAATTTTAGTTGTCAAACAGTAATCCAAATTGAGACCCCTAGAACACCTCTCACCTCTCCTTGTGTTACCACACTAGACTTTCCCTGGATAAAACTGTTGCTCCCTCAAAACTTCTTACATATTTCAAAAAACCAAAAATCTGCCCCTTTGCCACAAATCCTTAGCAGTTTTTTTTTTAAAATGAGAAAATCACTTAATAAATCAAGAAAAGGAGAAAAAGGACTTGTGTTCCAATCATGAAGAGTAAGCTTAAAAACTGCAGTGTTTCTTTCAAAATGTTATTTAAAATTTTAAAAAATGAGTTTTTACCGAAGCTGACACCCTTTTTCTATATTCCATTCAGATTGTATTTCTATCTTTCCTTCCTTAAGTTTTATTATAGTTTATATGCTCAACTTTCCCACCAAATACTGCACATTTTCATTATAAACACAAGAAATAATATGTGGTGGCACACAACTTTAATTCCAGCACTCAGGAGGCAGAGTCAGGTGGATCTCTGTGAGTTTGAGGCCAGCCTGGTCTACAAGAGCTAGTTCCAGGATAGCCAGGACTATTAAAGAAAGAAACCCTATATCAAAAATCAAATAAAATCAAATAAATAATGACTTACTTAATAAAGAATTAAATTTGCCACGGTAGAGTATACCCTTAACCTTAAAACTCAGTAAACAAATGCAGGGGGGTGTCTATAAATTCAAGGCCAGTGTGGTCTACAGAGTGAGACCCAGGCAGCCAAGGATAGTGAGAATTAAGATGTGGGAATGCCAGATAATGTTTCTAAACCCAGGGGGAGGGGGAGGCAGGACAAAGATTGTGAATTCTGGGTCTTTCTGAGATCAAAATAAAGAACAACAAATTGTATTATCCTGCATATATATAAAATTCATTTAGCTCCAACTTCTGTTTACTTCCACTTTCTACCATACTTAATGTACCTATTTTGGTTCTGTTTGCTAAGACACAGTTGTATGTATTCTAGGCTAGCCTCCACCTTGCTGTGTAAACAAGGGTGTTCTTCAACTTCTGACCCTCTTGCCTTCACTTCCCAAATGTTGGAATTACAGCCATGTACTACCACATCTGTTATTTTTAATTTTAATTTAATGCATATAAGTGTTGACCTGAATGTATGTCTCTGTAGCATGTGTGTGCAGTGCCCTCAGAAACCAGAAAGGGGCGTCAAAAACCCTGTAACTACAGAGTTGCTACAAGACAAGTATGAGCTGTCATGTGGGTGATGGGAATCAAACCCAGATCCTCTTAGGCACTGAGTCATCTCTCCAGCCTCTACGCCTATTTAGCGATTGAGATGCAAGGGTTTGTTGTTATAAGCATCTCTGTGTCTCTAAGCACTGTGCTAGTTTCTTTAGCATAGTTATCTTAGTGTGGACTTTCTTTGGGTGGTACCATACACTTAAAATTTACCACAAATGGTCATACTATTAACAAAATTACAGATATTATATTGACTTTAACTCTCCATTTATTGTAATGAAAAATGTCATTTTCCAGACACTTGAAGCTGACAGCTTATTTTCAGTCACATAATGGGTATTTCAAATCTATGGCATTTATCTGACCTTTTGCTGGAGAACAGCATCTACTGATGTATTTGCGCTCTCTTTTGGCCAATTTTCTTCTAAATTGTTTCATCTCGTTTAATGAATTATAGGAATTTTGTATATATTCTAAAAATTAATGCTGTTTAATATATTCCAGTATCTTTTCTTTTTTAGGCTATCTTGTGTCACATAGACATTTTAGGTTCTAAAAACTTAAACTTTCTATTTTTCACATCTGGTCCTTAAGCTAGGTACAATTTACTTAGTCAGATTGACCATTATTCCTTTCACATAAAACCCCATTATTCCAAACCCACTTCCCGACTGAGTGTTTTCGCACTGGCTTTATTCCTATCTGCACAAACACAGGTTTTGTGCACGCACCTCCCTCTAGCCGACTGTTCACTCCCCTTACTGTGGTGATCAGTAGCTCTGCCTGACTGACAGCACAGGACCAACTGCTTTCTGTTTTAGTTTTCTCTGAAATGTTTCTTTAGTTAAACTCTGTCACCATTTGCTAACAGATACAGATAATTTTTAATTTACATCTGACACAGCTCCTAGATGTTTCTGAGATTTTTAATACACAATAATTTAATTACAAACCCAAAGCACCAAGAATTTTACGTACAGATGCAATTGTGGCATCCTTTTCAGTAAGTTCTTGCTTGTGTCTAGCCATCATCTCTTTTATCTCCAGCTCTTTCATGATTTTCTCTTTTTCCAAATCAGAATATTGTTCCTCAGCAATGGAACGAGCCAGCTGCTCAGAGTCTGCTTTGGTCAGGGTGATCTCCAGCTGGGCAGCCAAAGAGTCTCTGTATTTCAGAGATAGACCATAAAAAATATAAGCATATGGTAATGGGATTGAACCCAAGGCCTCGTATATTCTAAACACACAGTCTTCCCAAGCTAAGTCCCAGATCCCTTGGAGATGGCATTTTAATGACCATTTTTCATTATGAATCAAAAGTCTTTCTCTACTTGATTCTTTATCACTTTTTTTTTTAACTTGGTAAAAAGGAGGCTGAGAACAGGACATGTACCCATGGACAAGGCCCGCCCTTACCTTTCATCCTGTAAGTCCTGCTTCTTCTGCTGTAACTCTTTACACAGCTTAGTCTTCTCTTCACTTTCTTCCTTAAGTTCTCTAACTTGTGTTTTATAAAGGGTCTAAACAGCAAAACAGCAATGTGTCCATTATCACCAAGAATATGACTTACATCCAAAGCCTAGCCAGGCAAAAATCTCAATATACACACATATTTTCTTAATGTTGAGTAATTTGGGGCTCCTGAGATATTAATAATTTTCTGAGTTTTCCCATTTTCTAGTCACCAATTAAGCAAATATTTGGCTATCTGCCAAAGTATATTGTAGATAGAATATCCTACATCTAGTTCCTACTCAACCCCTACAACAGCCAGTTAATAATATATATAGTATGATTTTCAACTGAATATTACAGCAAAAATTCCAGTTAAATGTACAGGCTGGTAGTATAAAAGAAGAGGTGGCGAAAAACATTGCTGGTTAATTTTGTTTGTTTTATGTTTGATTTAAGGTGACAGATCAATGGAACTACTCCATGAAAACACTTCACATTGCTGGACGGTGGTAGTGCACACCTTTAAGTCTGACACTCAAGAGGCAGAGGCAGGTCAATGAATTACTTAGTTCAAGGCCAGACTGATCTACAGAATGAGTTTCAGGACAGCCGGGCCTACACAGAGAAACCCTGTCTTGGAAGCTATTAAAAGAGGAAGGGAGGGTAGGAGGGAGGGGAAATACTTCCTATTTTTAAAGTGCTCTCAAAAAAAAACCCCCATAAATATCAAAATGACAATTTTATTCCTTTCCTTACAAAAGCACAATTTCCAAAATTTGATGCTTTTAACCAGTTTCACAGGCTGGTAATAGTTTATGCTTAGGATTATGTTCTAGCAACAATACCTCATTTGTTGTTTTGAGACAATGTCTCCCCTTCTGTTGCCCAGATTCACTTCAATTTTGAGGGTTCAAGAGTTCTTCCCACCTCAGACTGCCTAGCAGCTACAACTATAAGCACATACTACCAAGCCAGTCTGATAAAGGATTCCTGTTAGAGAATCTATAGTCTTTTGTCCAGCACTTTTTCTTTTTTATGGTACTGGGTACTGAGCTCAGACCTCTTTCCATGCTCCCATGTTAGGCAAGCATTTCACCAATGAGTTATATCCCCAATCCCGGTTTGCTTTTTATGAGTCATGTAAGAGTCCACCAAATACTTATGGTGTGATGGTAAACCACTATAATTCCAGCACTCAGAAGGTAGACAGTTTGCAAATTGGAGACCAGCATGGGCTATACAGCAGGTCTGTTGAAAAAAAAAAAAAAGCCTAAAACCAAAGCAAGCAGGGGCAAACAAACAAAAGCTGTGCATCCTACCCTCTTCTGAACTCCCAGGGTACCATGCATGCACGTGGTACACATACATGCCTACACCCAAAATACAAATACACAGAAAGTGAAACAAGTATTTGTTTCAATTAAAAGACAATCATTCTCTGATTCTGTAGGAAGTGCCTTACTGAGAAATACTGTTCCGCTTCAAGCTGGTCTTGCAGTTCCTTCATCTGCCCGTCTGCATCCTGCCGCTCTCTGTGAACATGGAAAGTCCAAGTCTTTAGTAAAGTACGATATACGCATTCAAACTCACTCTGCAAAGAATCCTGCAATCAAGTAATTTTCATGCCACACTAACTTCACCACTGCCTTCCAAACTCTCATCCCTGCAGGCCTGGTAGCGGAGCCTGTAATCCCAGCAACTGGGAGGCCAAGGCACGAGGGATTGTGAGTTCAAAGACAGCCTGGAGAATTTTATGAGACCATGTATCAAAAAAACAAAACAAAAATCCAAACAACTGAAAGCCATATGTGGTGACTTATATGTGTAATCCTTGCACTCCGGAGGCTGGGAAAAAAGATGCCTGGGAGGATGCAGCCGGCCAGGGCAAGGCAGTGAAGCTATAAAAACAGTGACAACAACAGAACGCCAAAAACAACAGACACACACACACACGCACTGTGCACAGGCTTTTCCTGAGGCTATGTCACATCATATGTCATTAATTCAATAGCTAATACAGTGTGTGCCTGTATTTTCAGTTTATTTTACTTTCACATTGCTATATAAATTGGCTCTGAAATTCCAATCTGTTTCGCACTCCCAAGTGTTGGGATTATAGGAATTATCACCAAACCTGGCTTTCATTTTAAATAAATACAATTATACAAACACACAAAACCTCTCAGAAGCTATCAATCTAACTATCTGAACCAGTTAACTTACTTTCGAAGTTCAGCATTTTGCTTTTCCAAGTTCATTTTCATTTCCATGAGATGATTATTTTCTTGTTTTATCTGCTTTTCTGACATTTTCAGGGTGTTAACTTGCTGAGTCTGCATCTTTAGATCATTTTGCATAAGGCAACGCTTCTGAGTTTCCTGCTCTATCTTTAATGTCAAATTTCTAACCTAAAAAGTAAATTGTATACTTAGTATTTAAGTAAATTATTTTGATTTTTCTCAAGAACAATAATTTCTTAATCATATCACATTAAAATAGATATTTCAAATATTTTTAAATATAACCTTTAAGTTTTAAGTAACTTAAAATTATTCAATTATGACTGATTTACTCTATCATTAAACCCAACAGACTCCATAGAAAATTACAAGAAAAAAATTAAAAATTAAATAATGCAGTCACCATTAAATGTATCCAATAAAACCAGCTTCTTATTGGTTCATACTTAGTGTAATGCACACTTACATCTTCATTTAGCACATCTTTCTGCTTCAGCAGCTCGTTTAATTTCTGCTGGGACTGTTTGAGGTCACAGTCCAATATAGAGCATCTTTTCTCGGCTTCCAGGAGTAGGTTTTCCACTTTCTGCTTTAAAGACCTTTCTTCCAATAGCTTCTTCTCCATTTCTATTACAATGAAAGTAGACACAACTAAGAGTCTGAAATGTAAGTATTTTAATTACAAGCAAGTGGTACTGTCCTATATTGTTATTTGTTTCTAACTGAACATTTTTAGCATTTCAAATATACTTGAGATATAAATTTTAGGCTAGAAAATTGGGAGGTTTTTTTTTTGCAATATAAAATTATCATACTACTTGTAATACTACATCTATTCTAATGAAAAAAAGATAATCCTGTCTTTGTGTAAAAGACAGTGGCATCTTTCAAAACAAACAAAAACAGTGTGACTCTTCCTACTGGAAAGCATTCCAGGCAGATTCCATCTCTTCTCTTTCCATATATTATTACACAGGTGTTGAAAATTATGTTTGGGGAGATAGACTCAGAAACCCAACTTTCTGATCTTAAATCTTGGCTCTGACACTTACTAATTATTTAAGTAAATGAACTTCTTTCATTTACTTCTTTCGCCTTAAATTTCCTTTTTTTAAAAATATTTATTTATTTATTATGTATACAATAGTCTGTCTGTGTGTATGCCTACAGGCCAGAAGAGGGCACCAGATCTCATTACAGATGGTTGTGAGTCACCATGTGGTTGCTGGGAACTGTACTAAGGACCTTTGGAAGAGCAGGCATCTTCCAGCCCCCTGGCCTTAAATTTCTTCCATCTAGGAGGGTAATGGTATTTAACCTCCAGCATATGGCAAAAAAGTGTTGAAGCTGATACATATATAGGACTTAAAATACTGCCAGACATATGGTAGGCACTAGGTAAGTGCTGAATAACACTTAACAGGGTTTTTTTTTTTTTAAAGAATTAGTAAAATGTTAGGAGAAAATGGAGTAAATTTACAAAGTATTAGCTTACTTAGTAAGTAATCTTTGCTTTTTTAAGTTATATTCTCCTTCATTTTTTAAAAATGACTTGCAATAAACCTATTATCAATCAGAAAAATAATCTTTTAAAAGCATTTTTTTCATCTTAAGGTGATCAACAAAGTGTACCCCTAACCAAGTAAGTTCAATTCTAAAGGTAAATTTTAGTTAATCTTTTGATTAGTATTTCAGTTCATACCCAAGTAGGAGTCCTCTGCCCTCTCACACCGAATGTTTAACATACAACTATTATTTACAGTTGCATTAGGTAAGAATGTAATCCATTAATTTTCAGGCCTTTTTAAAAAAGTGTTCACTTATGTATAAAGGCTTAAAGCTGATGTTGGGTATCTTCCTCATCTGCTCCCCACTGTATACTGTGGCAGGGCCTCTGAGTGGCTGAATATGGAGCTCACTAATTCTGGTTTGTCTAGCTAGTGAGCTTGCCCCAGGAATTCCCCTTCTTTGTCTTCTGGGTGCTGGGATTGCTGGTGGCTGCCATGCTTGCCTGCATTTGATATCACCATCTCCATGGCCAAAACTGAAAATATTTAATGAAGGGTCTTTAAAAGTGTGCACAGATAAATGAAACATTCTCTACATGCTAGTAAGTAGATAGTATTTTTTTAAAATATTTTTTATGGTTTATTTAACTTTATTTTATGTGCATTGGTGTGAAGTTGTCAGATCCCCTGCAACTGGATCTTCAGATAGTTATGAACTGCCATGTGGGTGCTGGGAATTGAACCCGGATCGTCTGGAAGAGCAGTCAGTGCTCTTAACCACTGAGCCATCTCTCCAGCCTCTAGATAGTATTTCTAATTATTGTACATGCACTTGACTTTCACAACCTAATAATACCATCATTATCCCTTTACAGGAAACTAGACAAGTTCATATTGGCAATAATTACTTGTTCAAGACATGTTCTTAGTCTATGGAGGTGAGAACATGTAGTAGAAAGAGCAAGAATTTTAGATTCAGGCTTGAAAGACATCTATAATATTTAAGTGATGGAGGCCTGTGCATAAAAATGTAAGGAAGTCATCACATATCATGTATTAGTGTTCCAAGGAACCACTGGAAACAAAAGTTATATTGAACTGTTTTATTTTTGTCAATTTAAAAAATAATCAAAAAAGAAATGCAATTACTTACTAAAAAATAAATAAAAAATATTCATTTAAAAAATCATATATTGGTGTAGAGAATAGAAAGAAGCACAAGGAAACTTACTGAGTTGGTAGACATATTCTACATCTTGCTTTTGGTGGTAGCTACATGAGTGTAACACAAACATCAAAACTATTTACACTTTATTGCATATAAATTAAACCTCAAAAGCAACTTAATTCTCCTCTACGCCATACACAAGGAAATTAACTTAATTAACTTAATCTCTTCAGATTAGATCTTCCTAAGTAAAGCACCTGTCTCATTTCTCTCTCTCTTTTTTGTTAGTCAGGGTCTCACTGTGTAGCCCAGTGTAGCTGTATAGCTGAGACCCCATCTGCTTCTGCCTTCTGAGTGCTGGGATTAATAGAGTGCACCATTGTTCACGACTTGTTTGAATTAGTGCTTTAATCTAAGTTGGTTGTAATAAGAAAATCTAAATCTTAATTATATTTAAAGAGTGAAAGGCTACTTCTAAGCTATTCGTATCTTAGTAAGAAGTGAAACTTCTGATCCAGAGTTTTAAGACTTGGACAAAAATATTTTCAAATATTGATTATTTGTGAAATTTCAAATCTATCAATAAAGTTAGAAAACAAACAATCCTAAGACAAGACTAAGGCAAAGATTGGTTTGTGGAGGTTAACATTGGGATCTATTAGTATGACATGGCTTTAATAAAATCTGACTGGCACCTTTAGTACGTCAGAGTCCAAAACACTCAGTGAACTGAATAATCTAGTTCAGTGGTTCTTAATTATGACCCCTGAGGATCAAATAACTTCCACAAGGGTTGCCTAAGACCATTGGAAAACACAGATATTTTACACACTATGACTCATAACAGTAGCAAAATTATAGCTATGAAGTAGTAACAAAATTAATGTTATGGTTGTGGTCACCACAACATGAGGAACTGTATTAAAGGGTCACAGCATAAGAAGGTTGAGAACCACTGTTCTAGATGGACTAGCTATTATGTAAATTTTGATCTTATATAACTATTAATACTTTTGTACCACAGCTAGGGAAATGTCAAACTACAGTAAACTTATGTCAAAGAACATATTTCCCAAATCAGTATAGAACATCACATTATACACCTTATGGCATCAATGTCACTGAAACATCATTTTCTTTCAGATTTAAAAATATGGTAGAATGATTCTGCATTTGGGCTTTAGTTTCTTAGAAACTGTTACAATGATACAAAGGTTTAAAAAAAAGGAAGTATAGAAAGTTTCCCTGATAATTTCTTTCCTTTCAGCTCCCAATACTTGGCAATATAAACAAATACCATATTTTGTAAAAGTGAAGACTGACTCTAAAATGGGAACACACCTCACAGTGCATACTCTAAAATGGGAACACACCTCACAATGCATACCTTTCATGGCTTCTGATTTAGCTTCTTCAATGGATTCATAGATCTTGTTTTTATCCGCCAGCCGTGCTTTTGTGGTCTTGTGCTCAGCTTCTTCTTGCTCTAAACTCTGCTGTATCACTTTCAGTTGGTATGTCATATCTATTTCCATGTTGCTCTTTTCCTAATAAACATTGTTCATGGTGATTATTAACAGAATTTCAAAGACTTTTAAAATTCTTTTAAACAGTCTAAGAATGTTCAGCATCTTCCTTGCTTTCTCTGTCTGAGTATCCTGTGACATAACAGCTGGCCTCTGCCACCATCTGAGATATAAACTGAGCGTCTAATTTCAACGATCTGACAAGATTGCTTTTCTCACCATACAATACTTCTTGGGCTCTCCTCTTCTGATTATAACCTGCAACCCTGATACTACCCACCGATGCTTTTGACAATGGACACCCTGGCTCTCCCTAACCAGGTCTCACCTTCCTGCCACTCTCAAGGTTCCCCAACTGCTTCTCAGGTGCTAGTTTTACTTTTTTTCTAATTAGCTATTTTACTTTAAGCATATGTGTATTTTGCTTCTATATATGTGTGTTTACCACATGTGTCTGGTACCCATGTAAGTCAGAAGGAGGGGACAGATCCCCGAAACTGGAATTACAGATGGTTATGAGCCACGTTCTGAGTGCTGGGAACCAAACCTGGATCCTCTTAACTGTAGAACCATCTCTCCAGTTGTAGGACTCTGGTATTCTTTACACACAAGGTCTCTCTTCCTAAAGCTTTATTTTTTGAACTTTAGAAATGTATAATAATAGCCATGTGTAGTGGCTAGAACGTTAATCCCAGCACTCAGCAGGGAGAGGCAGGCAGATCACCGTGAGTTCAAGACCTGCCTGGTCTACAGAGTTCCAGAACAGCCAGGGCTACCCTGAGAAACCCTATCTCTAAAACACCACCCCACCAACCACCAAAAGAATATTGCTTGCAATCTAGCTACATTAAACAACAACAAATCTCATGATGTTCTACTACCCAAATAGTAGGTCTTTTTCTGTGATGCTGGGGATTGAACTCAGGATTTTGGACATGCCAAGTAAGCACTCTACCACTGAGCTACATGCTCAACCAGACATGTTCTAAGTTTGAAAGACCTGGATAATAGAACTCAGTCTATTTTCAATATATGCCCCAGGATTTGTAACACAGAGTATACACAGTCAGCAAAACCTGAAGTATTTATTATCTCACCCTTAAAGGATTAGTTTCATGACTCACTCCAGAAATACTGACAAAACAAGCAAATCATACCATTACTGTTCCCTACCCTTAGCTTTGCTCAAGCGGCTACCCTCCAGCTAGAGTCTGCCTCTTTACCTGCCCAGCTCTCTGACATACCAGGTGAGGGATCACTTTCTACACCTGAAAGGCATACTGTGTACAAACAGCTAGTATTTTGTTTGCATATAAAACATTAGAATCACCTAGGCCAGTGGTTCTCAACCTTTCTAATGCTGAAACCCTTTTAATACAGTTCCTCATGCTGTGATGACCCCCAATCATAAAATTATTTTCATTGCTACTTCGTAACTGAAATTTTGCTGCTGTTATGAATCATAATGTAAATATCTGTATTTCTGATGGACTTAGATATGTGAAAGTGTTGTTCTACCTCCCAAATGGGTTGCAATCTACAGACTGAGAACCGCTGACCTAGGGGCTTAATTACTTTTATTATTTGAGCCTGGGATTCACCAGGTAGTCCCCAGCAGCTAGCCTTGAACTCACAGAGATCGATCTGCCTCTGTCTCCCCAGTGTTGGGATCAAAGGTTTGTATCACCATGACCAGCTTATTATCACTTTTAAAATTATCTATCAGACTGGTATTATTTAAAGCAACACTGCATCCTAATATTTCTACTCTAGAAAACATTAAATATTCAGATCAATGAATAAACAAATGAAAATAAAATATTAACTAGAAATAATCCCTGGCTCCACAGAATTTAAAAAAAAAAAAAGCCTCTGAATGTCACAAGTCATATATTTCCCCTGAGGTTTTTCAAAATAAGGTTTCTCTGTTTAACAGTTCTGAAACTCACTGTAAGTCAGGACGCTCTTGAACACACAGAGATCCACCTGCCTCTACCTCCCAAGAGCCGGGATTAGGTGTGTGCCATCACTGCCTAGTAAAAGTCACATTTTAATTTTGTATTATTATTGTAATATTAAGATATCCCAGTCAAAACTTCAATTTTCTTACACTGTATGAAAATCTCAAAGAACAAAATACTTATCTTAGAAAGTCTGAATTTCTGGGGCTAGAGACAAGGTTCAGGGGTTAAGAGCACTGGTTGCTCTTCCAGAGGTTCTGAGCTTAATTCCTAGCAATCACATGGTGGCACACAACCATCTATAGAGATCTGATGCCCTCTTCTGGCATGCAGGCATACATGCAGAGCACTTGTACATGAAATATAAAAAAAAATAAAAATTTTTGAAGAAAGTTTGAATTTCCCCTGGGTCCATTAAAAAAGCACTGAGTCCCTTTGTTCATATAATTCAGCATACCAAAGACTGCCTATATGGTATTAAAATTATAGCTCTTATTTATATAGTTCAAATAGAAAAGTCTATGTATATATGAAAACAGTCTAGCTATTTAGTCCCTTATTTTGGTAACTTTTCTTTTTTATATATATACAATATTCTGCCTGTATGTATGCCTGTGGGCCAAAAGAGGGCACCAGATCTCATAGATGGTTGTGAGCCACCATGTGGTTGCTGGGAATTGAACTCGGGGCCTCTGGAAGAGCAGCCAGTGCTCTTATCCTCTGAGCCATCTCTCCAGCCCTAGTAACTTTTCTTATCTGAAATTGCATTGTCCTATTCTCACACACAAAGTGCGATGTGCTGTGGTTACCTTCTCCAGGTCAGCAAGCTTCTCCTGCAGCTGTCTCTTCTCCAGCTCTACTTTTGCTAGCAAGGCTTTGCCAGTCTTCAGATCTTCTTCCAGCCCAGATAGTCTACCTAAAAATTCAAACATTTTTTAAAGTAACATACTCAGCATGCATTCAATTAAGAATTATCTACCTCATATTTTGGAGTTGTTACTTATGAGCAAGAGTTTTATAACCTATCAGACAGTACTTTAAAAGCTAATTTAGCTAAAACTCAACTGACCATCCAAATTTAAAAAATACTATTTGAAAGTACATCTTTTACTCACAAAATTTTAATCAATATATTTTTAATGTTCTAATTTAATTTTGCAATTTTTATTTTAATTATGTGTCTGTGTTTGTGTCTGAGGATGGATTTGTGCATGTGAGTTTCATGTCCAAAGAGGCCAGAAGAAGGAGCTGGAATCTCTGAAGTTGGAGTTACAGGTAGTTGTGAGCCTCCCAGTAGAAGTGCTAAGAACTGAACTTAGTAATCAATAACTGCTTTTAAACAGCTAAGCTGTCTCTCTAGCCCCAGGCTCTAACTTTACTAACAGAAAACTACATTAAAAAAAAAAAAAAAAAACAAGCCAGGAGCGGTGGCCCACACCTTTAACCCCAAGTAGAGGCAGGCAGACAGATCTCTGAGTTTAAGGCCAGCAGAGCAAGTTCAAGGATACCTGGGTTTACACAGAGAAACCCTGCCTTGGAAAACAAAAAACAAGACAAACAACAAACCCAGGTTACTGCAACACATTATTCATTTAAAGTTATTTCAAAATCATGAATTATCAAAAAATCAAATCAAATGCAACCACTGCTTTATACCTTGTAAATCATGAATTATCTCTGATCCATGGGTCCGGTCCCTCCTTTCAGATTCTAGAGCTGATTGAAGATTGATAAATTCCTTTTCAAGCTTTAACTTGGCAGTCTCAAGTAGGCAGTTTTTATCTTGTAGATCTCTATTGTTAGACTCCAGCTGCTGAATCTGTTTGGAGCTTTCTGCCTGGGTTTTTCTTAACCGTGCTGCAGTATCGGACTCTGTTCGTAGCAGAGCATTAGCTTCATCCAGCTGTTAACCAATTCAAAAGCAAGCAGATTACCACAGATGTAACATAATAAATAGCATAGAACATCAATTTATCAATTTGTTACCAAACTACTTAAATAAAAATTCCAAGTATCATCCCCTTAAGTGTTAGAGCTAAGGGCTTAGCAACATTGCAATCAGCATTAACAGGCGTGGATAAACTCAGCACTTTACACACAGACCAACCTACCTGTTTCTGGAGTTGATTGACTTTCTCAGTGGATATCTGAGAGCTCTGGTTCCTTTTCTTCAAATCTTCAAGTTGATCTTTTAAGCTGTTAACTATGAACAAAGCATTTTAGCAGCAAGCTTCAATACAACAAATACACACAATATTTTTCTTAAACATTTATTATTTTATATCACGAACCATCATTTTCCAAATTCCGTTTCTTGTCAGCTTCATGATCAGCTTTCCGTTGATATTCTGCATTTTTATGCTGAAGAAGGGCCTTTTCTCTTTCCAACTGTCTCAGTGCTGACTCTACATTTTTCCTAAAGGTAATCTGAAACGATTAACATTATTATCAAAAGGAAACAGGCAGAGAAAACAGATCAAAACCCATCGGTGATCTCAAAAACATAAAAAGATACCTAAAAGGCTATCACTGTTTTGTTAAAATTATAATGTTCCATGTTTGCAAAATAGCATACTACAATGAAATAATCAGACCCTTGTACTGGTTGGGTTTGTGTGTTAACTTGACACAAGCAAAAGTCATCAGAAAGAAAGGAGCCTTAATTGAAAAAATGCCTTCCTGAGATCCAGCTGTAAGGTATTTTCTCATTTAGTGATCACCGAGGGAGGACCAGTCCATGATGGATGGTACCATCCCTGGGCAGGTGGTCCTGGCTTCTATAAGCGTGTAGGCTGAGAGGGCCAGGGGAAGTAAGCCAGTAAGGAGCACCTCCTACAGGGATTCTGCTCTGTTTGAGCTCCTGTCCTGACTTCCTTTGGGGATGCTCTGTAGCAATGCTAAAGTGTGAGCCAAATAAACCCTTTCCTCCCCAACTTGCTTTTTGGTTGCGGTGTTTTTGTCACAGGAATAGAAACCGTAACTAAGACAACCCTTAATACTTAATTTATTATACTATTAACAGTCATGCTCTCTGAAACTTTCTATCACTAATGAACCATCACTATTTAATCCAACAGACCTAAAATATTAATATCAAAACTTTAAAAAAAAATTACTTCCTGTTTTTAAAACAACCAGCCATTTTAGTAATCATATAAAAGCAAGTTTTTAAAAATTTTAAAGTTAGTATGCAAAGTAATAGCTTCATTATGGCATTTACATACCTATAGATATTCAAACTTTTAAGGAAAAAAAAAACATGAACTACCTACATTAAATTAACTCAAACTGGCATAGCAAGTCACCCTGCAGTGATCTTCATCTTGTTCATTTATGACACAAGTAGGTTTTACTGATATGGACGGCAAGGCCTCTGAGAACTCTGTAGCTAAGTGGGTATCAAAGATTTTTAGTGTCAAAAATGTTAAAGTACAGGAAATTTTTACCTCTTCTTCTAGCTCCTTTGCCGTTTTCTCTAGGCGAGTATTAATAGATCTAAAGAATTTTAGAAAGAAGCAGTAAATAAAATAATTCTAGTTTATGGTAAAAATACAGCCTATTAATTGAGAAAGCATCTGCATAATTAATTTGCGCCTTTCACTTTCAGTGCTGTATTTAAACTTCAATTTTAAAATGCACTGCCTGGCACATACTTGCACTTCTGTTCCAGCTCCTCCTTGGCTTGCAACTCACTGCTAAGGTGTTCTTCTAATGCATACAATTTTTTCTGAATCTGTCAAAAATATAAAATATAATAAATTATAAGCTTTGATCACAGAGATGAGCAGCTTAAAGAAAACAGCGATCCCTACTAGCCTTTCCACTTACTGACCTCTCTGTAAGAGCACAGGATTGGTACTGCTAGTGTGACTGGCTTAGAGGGAAAGCACCCTCACCTCCCACTTTCTCCCTCACAGTACACATACAGGTATGAACACATTTACAGGAATAAACTCTTTTGTGATTTACTACACAGTGACAGGAACAATACTATGAAGAATTAAGGATTTAATGCATCTTGAGTAAATGATAGCTAATCCTATATCAAATCCTCTTAGTTTACATTAGCTATTTTAAGACAAGTTAAAATGATAAAAACTACTAAAGAACACACTTCCCTTTAAATATATTTACTATTTCCCTTTAAATATCCCTTTAAAAATATTTACTATTACTTTTTACATGTACATGTGAATATGTTTGTGTGTGTGCCTGCATGAATTTAAGTGCACCACATCTGTAAAGGAGCTCTTGGAGGCCAGAAGATGGCATTGGATCCCTTCCAACTGAAGCCACCATGTGGGTGCTGGGAATTTAACACAGGTCCTCTACATGAGCAATAAACACTCGTAACTACTGAGCCATCTTCCAGCTCCGAAGAGCCTTTTCTTTGTTTTTTGAGACAGGATCTCACATCTCAGGCAAGTTCTGAGTAGCTTGGAAATGCTATGTAGTCAAGCTGGAGTTCAGCTCACAGATCCACCTGCTTTACTTTTGAGTGACAGAATTAAAGGTTATGTCCACCTACGCCTTCCTTCTTTTTTTTCTTCCTTCCTGTTTTAAGGATTTAACTTTTTGAGATCCTATGGTACCTTGGATGCAATAAATACCAGGCACTTTACAGTGTTGTTCCATTAGCAGGAACAAAATACATAAGACAATGTCTCCTATATGTGGCAGCACATGCCTTTAAACCACTCAGGAGGAAGATGAAGGAGCAATTCTTGGAGCTCAAGATCAGCCTACTCTGCATATTGAGTGCCAGGCCTCAACACAGTAGTGTTATATCCACCCACCTTATTAACTGAAATTCAGAAAGGTGAATATTCAGGTCAAGGCAAAAATGATACACTAAAGCCAAGGTTCTAATGAGTATGTTTTCTGGGTTTTTTTAAAACATTTTTTTCATCTTAAAAACAACAAACAATCAAGAAACTCCTCTATTGTCCAAAACAAGTATAGGCTAAGAGCTGAGGAGATGGCTCAGTCAGTAAGCTGCTTACTGAACGAGCATGAGGATCTGAGTCTGGATCCTAACATACATGGGAAAGGAAAATCAAGGCACGTTTGTCTCTAGCACTGGAGAGGCTGAGGCAGGCAAAGGCCAATCTGGTCTAGAGGGTGAGCTCCAGGTCAGCCAAGGCAACAGCCAACCAAATAAAACAAAACAACAAAATCAACTCATGGATGCTTACTCCAGTACTGGGTGGGGAGGGGAGGGGAGGGGTTGGAGGAAAGTGTGGCAGGGACAGGCAGCTCTTTGGGGTTGCTGGCCAGTCAGTCTGGCTTAACCTCTGAACTCCAGGTACATCGAGACCCTTTTCCAAAAATGGATGGATGGATGGATGGATGGATAAAGAAAAGTATATAAAGTATTGAGGAAGATAGTGACTACTAGCCTCCACACATGTGTATACGTATAAACACATCCAATAATGTTCACATACACTAAACAGGTAAGTAAAGTCAACTATCTTTATCCTTTTTAGTGCATACGCACCAAACAAACCATTTTGAAACAACTATTTTTTTAAAAAGAAATATGGGTTAATGAGTGAGTCAAGATAAGTACTTTTAGCTGCTATAATACTCTAAACATACTATTACATGCCCTTGATAAATAAGAACAAAAATTACATAATTCATTTTAAACAATAGATTTGTAAGAAAAATAATAAAAGGGTACTTGGTAGAGAAAAGGACGGCAAGTCTCTTGGGTAGACGCAGTACTCCAAATGGGAAGCAGACTATGACTAGATTAAAACATGAGCTTTTCTCCTTTTCAGTGTATTTGACAACGTACCTCCTGACTTTCCTATTCAGAAAAAAAAGAAAGAAAACATTTCAATGCTTGTTATATTTTATAAAAGTTCATTAATGTATATCAATCCAAAAATATTCAACAGGCTCTTCTACCTTTTGTTAAGTTTTAAGAAAAATTAGCACTGTAACTTAGACTTGTATGTGTATCAGTCACAAGATACTTTAACACTGATTAACTGTTCTTTATATAAACACACTAGCAAACAGGAACTCAAGATCTGTATCACTCTCCTACTTCTATGCCCCACTGCTTGATACATATACTCTTTCACAGCACTGAGATCATGACGTCTTCTACCTGCCATTACATCTGTTTATAAATTTATCACTCTTGCTACTAAATGAAGCTAGAAGCACATATTCACATAAAAGAATTACTTCAAAGTTGTGCTGAACACAGCACCTTACACTCAAAGAATGGTATCTCATGATTCATAAAGTGAACTTCAAAAAAAAAAGAAATTAGTGGCATGATGAAACTAGTGATATGATGAGACGGACCAGCGGTTAAGAGGACTACTGACTGTCCTGCAGAGGATCTGGATTCAGTTCCCAGAATTCACTTGTAAGACTGTCTGTAACTCTATTTTCAGGGGCTCCGACCCCTCTGTTCTGGCCTCCACTAACAGTGTATGCTCATAGTGAACAGACATAAATGCAGGCAAAACACTCATACACAAAAAATAAAATTTGTATTTGAAGACAATCAGTGGTTGAGTATTTGAACACATACCTAAAGTAAATAACATAGTAAAAATGTATACATACTTCACTCTTCCTTGTTTGTATTGCATCGTTTTCTCTACAGGGTGGAGAGTCACTTAGTAACCTGGAAAGACAGAAGGAAAGACCTTTTTGCATTCCACCTTAATTCATTTTGTCTTATATAAAAGAACATTCTAGGTGCAGCACTTATTCTGCTGCTGAGCAGCCACACCTCTGCCTCTGCATAGAAGGTGCCCAGTCTGAGCTCTGTTAGGACACGGACCTCTTCATCCCACTTGCATTTCTACAATGATTATATTCTATTGGGTTTTTTTTGTTGTTTGGTTGGTTTGCTTTCGTTTTTGTTTTTTGAGTCAGGGTTCCTCTGTGTAGCTTTAGTGCCTGTTCTGGAACTAGCTCTTGTAGACCAGGCTGGCTTCGAATTCAGAGATCCACCTGCCTCTGCCTCCCAAGTGCTGGAATTAAAGACACTGCCCAGCTAATATTGTTTCTTTTAAAAAGAAATATCTCTTCTCTTCTTTTTTGCAAAGATAATATAAGAGCTCAATGTCGTAATTTATACATAATCTTCTAAAAAACTATTTATTATACTCATTTATTGTGTGTGTTCATGCGCACTAATGCCAGGTGATACATGAGAGGTCCGGGGACAATTTGTGGGAGTTGGTTCTCTCTTTCCACCATGTGAGTCAGCAGGCTTGGCAGCAAGTGCCTTACCTACTGAACCATCTTTCAGGTGTGTTCTTCCCACCATCTATAAACATGAATAAGTTTTTTTAATCCCTGATACTCTTTTTGAAAAAACATATAAACTTTTTAAAAAGATTTATTTATAATTATACAGTGTTCTGCATGCATGCTAGAAGAGGGCACTGGATCTCATTATAGATGGTTGTTACCACCATGTGGTTACTGGGAATTGAACTAAGGACCTCTGAAAGAGCAGCCAGTACGCTTAACCTCTGAGCCATCTCTCCAGCCCAAAAAACATATATTCTTTAATTTTGTGTATATAAGTATTTTGTCTAAATGTTTGTCTGTGCAACACATGTGTGCCTGGTGCCCACAGAGGCCAGAGAAGGGCAGTGGATCCACAAAATTGGAATTACAGATGGTGATGAACTGCCATGTGGGTACGAAGAATCCAACCTGGATCCTCTGGAAGAGTAGTCAGTGCTCTAATTAATGATTGAACCATCCCTCCAGTGTATTAGCCTTATTTTGTTCAGAACTTTAAAAAGTATTAAAACATTATGACTAGGGAGGTGACCAACCCATCTTTATTTGCCTGAGCTTTTCCTGGTTTTGTTATTTCATCCCAGGTAAAACCTCAAACCTGAGCAAACTGTGACAGTTGTAATTTTCATCATTACATGTGGGTGTACCAAGACGTTTCTCAAACACTTTTAACATTTGATTCCAATATTTAACAGTTTTCGGGGACTCCTGCTTGCTTACCAGTCTCAGCAGAACATCCACTGGGATAATCTTTTTAAAGGTAAATATCACATTCTACCTTCTTTTTAAAAAAAAAAAAATATTTCTGTGATTCTCTTATATGCTTCATGAGATAATAAACTCCAGCAAAATCAAGTATTTGTTCTTACTGCATATCTTCAAAAGAATATAGGACAGCCTTACAATCATTTATAGATAAATAAAATGTAACATTCAAACATCAAATGATGAAATAAAATTAAAAATAATTTAGACAGTACATTAGGCAAAAACCTTACAGCTAGGCTATAATAATAATAAATTTTAATAAATAAATCACATACAAATTTTCTCTAAAGTATGTAAATCCTATAAAAGGTAGCTGATTTCCCACAAAAGCTTTAGGGATTGGAAAAGTCTCTACATCTCCTTTGTCGTCCTCGATGTCATCAAAGTTGCTGCTGTCTATGTCACTGCTGAGCTCAGGCACCACTGGAGCTGCCGCTGGGAGGAAAGGAAATATTATTCCACTCACAGCCAAAATAGAAGATCTACTAATTTTTTTTATGATATATAATATTTTATACAAAGATCTACCAACCTATCTTCCATCTGCCATTTCATAGAAGTAACACATTGCAAGTAATTTATTACGCTATTCGATCAGCTTTAAATACAGGCTAATATATATCAAACAAGGAAGGTCTATTATATTATTCTAAGGTGCTAAAATTTACAAGTAGCAAAACATACATATATTATTTCTATATATACACATACATGTATATTTCTACACTTTTTATGCAGAAATATTTCTCACTCATGAATCAACATTATATATACAAAATAAAAATAAATTACTATGTTTTATCAGAGTATGGTCTTAACAAGTAACTATTAATTTATCAACATACGTACTCAAGTTAAAGGACTACATTCCATGACTGAGATTTACAAAATTGCCAAACAGGAGAAAATGCACACTAGTTTACTAGAAGAATGATGAACTATTTACCTACAAATTTTGCCACAGGAAAAGATGATTTCTCAATTTAAGACACACTCTATCAAACATGTGCTATTTCAGAAGAGGAAATCAATTTGTACGACTCAAACTGTAATAAAATAGAACACATAGATTGACTGACTTACTTTCTCTTATGTTTTCCCAATTCCACTGATCATTCTTAAAGAAAGGATGCTGTTTTATTTCTTCTACCCCATTTCTTCCAAGTCGTACCTCCCTAAACAATGCAGTTAAAGATAATATTAAAGATAAAATTAAAGATAATAATAAAAATAAGAATATTAATTTTCCAATTTTCACTAAAGGATCATAAATTTAAACATTTTTACTAAAAGTTTCAGCTTAAATGTTTCTTAAAACTAAGCTATGTGTCTGATCTTTGAACAAATCAAAGAGGAATAATGATAGTTAGTGAACAATAAACTATATGGGAAATAAACTTCATTTCCACTAGCATTCTGCTCTCAATCAAAAGTATAAAAAAAACCCACTAAAAAAAATTCCCTCTGTACAAGCATGGCCCACTGATCTTAGCTCATGACAACTTTGGTCAAAACAGTACTTCAGGCTACTCTCATAGAAGCACCAACCTTTCTCCTCTTAAAAAGAACTATCCTTATTTACTACTAGATGCACTCCCTCTCCATTAATGTTAGCATCTCATTCTGAATAAAATGAAAACAATTATTAAGAATTTCTTTAACTCCCCTGGAGCATTCCTGAAAACAGGATGGAAATAGAAATTATCAAATGTAAGTGTGTTTCTGGTGAATCTCCAGTGTGGACATGTTATAATGAAATCCGTAGCAACCCCAGCAAACATTATTCAGGCTCTATTTTAGGTTCTATTTCATTTTATCAACACTGGTTGTTCATCAATCATATAACTAACAAAACTTACAATTCTTTTCAACAAATCATTAGAGAATCCAAGGAAAAATCAAATAGCTTCTTCACTCTTTCTAAGGCAGCTTTCACACCTTTGTTCATCTATTTAGTTTTTTAAATCATAGAGTTTCCAGTGCAGACTTGTTCACATACAAATGAAACTGAAGAGTCGGGAAGAAGATCTTCCATACTACACAAATAGTTCTTTTACAGGTGGGCTGAGACGGGCCTCATTCTGTAGCCTTAACAGTCCTGGAACTCACTGTGTAGACCAGGCTGGCTCGAACTCAGAGATCTCCCTGCTTCTGCCTCTGAGTGCTGGGATTAAACAACAGTTACCTTTAAACAAATAGCTCTTAAGATTGTACATTATTGAGCATTTATCTATAGAAAATGCTGTCCTCTCAAAGTTATACAATCAAGAGTAATAGGGAGGACTGGAGAGATGGCTCAGAGGTTAAGAGCATTGTCTGCTTTTCCAAAGGTCCTGAGTTCAATTCCCAGCAACCACATGGTGGCTCACAACCATCTGTAATGGGGTCTGGTGCCCTCTTCTGGCCTGCAGGCATACACACAGACAGAATATTATATACATAATAAATAAATATTAAAAAAAGAGTAATATGGAATACTATGTAAGAGGATAAAATGTGGATGACATAAATTTTATCTTTCCAAAGCCCCGCCCAAAGATTTCATTTACTAAATCATTTATACATCTTTATAGACATGAGGAATAAGATATAAACTAGGTGACAATTAGATTATATTCATAAGATGATGAAAGTAACCCAACAGCAGACTTAAGGTGGGAGTGGGAGGACTAAACCATAATTAAACTACAGAGGTTGACTCGCATGTATGTATGTAAGGCAAGCATACTTTCATTTCTGCAAATTGTAAAAGTAAAAGAATTTCTCCATAAAGAAACTCTGTGTATATTACCTGTCTGTTAAGAAGGCACAGATGAGATTCTTTGCATGCTTAGAAATTTCTGTATCTTCAGGGAAACATAGTGAATTTTTATGATCCATAATTTTGCTATAGGTTCCTACAAGTGAATCTGCATAAAATGGAGTGTCTCCTAAATTTTAAAGAAAGACAGCAATGAGTAGAATAAAGAATTCATGTTAAATACTTTTCATATAATATTTAAGTATCTTAAGTTTAAATTCATTTTCTTTCATGAAAGAACAAATGGCTTTATATGCCAAGAATCACAGTGGAAATGAACAGATATATATACAAACACATTTAAAATGTAACCACACCATGACCTTTTAGTCTTGAAAAAAATAAATTTGCCTCTGAGTTTCCTCTAATTGAAATAGTGTATCTTGGGATCAAATGTAGTGGCACACACCTATATAATCCCAGCAATTGGGAGGCAGAAGCAGGCATCTCTGTGAGTTTAGGCTAGCCTGGTCTACATAGTGAGTTCCAGGACAGCCAGGGCTACATAGTGAGACCCTGTTTCAAAAAATAAACAAAACCAAAACAAGTAAAAAAGAAAGAACATATATTAAGACTCTAACTGAAAATATTTCTTTTTTTTTTTTTAATTTTTCGAGACAGGGTTTCTCCGTAGCTTTTGGTTCCTGTCCTGGAACTAGCTCTTGTAGACCAGGCTGGCCTCAAACTCACAGAGATCCGCCTGCCTCTGCCTCCCGAGTGCTGGGATTAAAGGCATGCGCCACCACCGCCCGGCTTGAAAATAATTTTATAATTCATCTCAACTGTGATGACTTAAATCACACAGTGATTACAGACACCTTTGATCCCAGCACTCCAGAGAAAGAGGCAGGTGGATCTTTTATGAATTCCAGGCCAACCTGGTCTACCTAAGAGGGTGTCTCAAAAGGAGAAAGAAGAAGGAAGAGGAGGAGGAGGAAGATGAAGAATATGTATTTGTTTATGTGCTGAGTTCCAGGGAAGCCAAGACTACAGAGAGAGATTGTGTCTCTAATAAACAAATGAAAACCTGGAAAGATAAACAAATAGTAAACAAAATACAGTTTGCAATTCAATGGCATAACAAGATTACATGAATTAAAGAATGATCTTAGTTCTCTCTACCTATTGAAACAAATACTAAAATTTGCTTAAATATTTACTCAATCATTTAAAATACTTTACAATAAAAGGATTATTAAGACACTGTAGGGGCTAGAGAGATGGCTTAAGTGGTTAGAGCATGCAGAGCTTTTGCAAAAGGTCAAAATCAGTTCCCAGCACCCGTGTCAGGTGCTCAACATGAACTGTGTAACTCCAGCTCCAGGGGACACACACACACACACACCAGAGTAATCTAAAACAACAACTTTGTAAACTATTGGCACTGGAGCAATAGTTGGACAGCTAAGAGCTTTTACTACTAATTCTTCCGGAGTTTGGTTCTCAGCATTCATGCTTCAGTTGCCCACAACTCCAGGGATACATCAGAAGACTAAAGGAGGCCTACAAAAGTTGTAAATCTGTTCTTGCTCTAATGCTGCCTTAATTTTAAAAAGATCTAGTGATGAGAAGCAGCACACCTGCAATCCCAGCATACAACAGGCTGAGGCAGTGGATTTTGACTTTGGGGTCAGCATCAGCTATATGAAAATACTTAAAAATATAAAAGGATCTACTGGAGAAAACTTCCTAACAACATATAACATACTTTACACAGTGAACTTCTTTTCAATCATTCTGCCAATCTTATATCAGATTCTACTTTCTTGACTTATTTACTAGCATGTGCATGTGTAGGCATGTGTAAGCATGCGCATACATGCATAGGTCACATTCAGAGGTGGAGGTCAAATCATAATTTGCAGGTATTGGTTCTCTTCTACCTGCACCTGAATCCTAAAGATCAAACTCAGAAGGTCAAGCTCAGGAGCCAGTGCTTTTACCCTTTAAGCCATCTTACCAGCTCTACATCAGTGGTAATTCAGTTTTCAGAAATTCTGACCCCTCCCTTGAACAACACAATTCCTTTATATTCTCCAATTCTTGACTCAATTATAAGGTGTGAATATTGACTTACCCACTAGCATCTCAAAAAGGAAAACACCTACAGACCACCAATCACACTCTCGACCATAGTAGCCATCACCACCTTGTGATTTCAGAACCTCAGGTGATATGTAATCAGGAGTTCCAACTGCTGTATCGCAATGCACCATGCCTGTCTGGGTAAACAGTAGAATTAAAACACAAAGCCAAACAACCAGTTGAAGGTGAATACATACAGACAACTGATTTATTATCAGAGAGACAGTGACACTCATCACTTCCAATAGAACATCATGACCTGGCTTCAGGACTCAGGCAATACCACCAAAAGCACAGAAATGCCTGGATGAGGGAAACCAGAGTTAAGTTTTCACCCATGAGAAAAGGAAAAGACAGGGGACTCCCAAGACTATGAAAACCGACAATTTTTGTTTTTCATTTATTAAAGTAAGGGAGGTACAAAATGTGATCTTAATGACACAACATGGGGAAAACAAAAGAGTCATTAAGAAAAAAGCAGCTTTGCTATTTTGGAAAAAAGCAAAAGCCCTTGACGATGGCAAAGTACCTCTCAGGTTGGACATGGTGTTAAGAAGTGATACACAATTTATCGAGAGTAGACTGAAGAAATGTATTAAACATTTAAACTAAAAGACCATCAAGGCTTGGCGCTTCTTAGCTTTATGTATTTTTAATTATGTAGCTGTATTAACATACTTGGCAAAGTATCCAACACCTTTACCTGTGCTTGGTTTTGTTGGTAATACAAAACTTTCTGTATGTGTATAATGTATACATGCTCATGTGTGTGTGCTTGTGTGTGGGAAAGCCAGAGGCCAAGGCTGGGTACCTTTCTCTACTACCCTTATTATTTGAGACAGTCTCCCCCTGAACCTTGAGCTCAGCAACTGGCTAAACTAGCAGCCAGCACAGCCCAGGGATCCTTTTATCTCAGGTCTTCAGCACTAGTGTTGTAAGTATATGCTAAAATATTTGGCCTTCTGTGGGAAGTGGGGATCTGAACTCAGATCCTCATGCTTGAGAAGTGAGTATCTTACCCACGAGCCATATCCCTAGATTCTCAGGTTATCTTTTTGACAAAAAGAAGAATCATGTCTTCTTTTTGGTGGTGCACCTTTAATCCCAGGACTTGGGAGGCAAAGGCAGGCGTATCTCTGGGAGTTCAAGGCCAGCCTGGTCTACAAGAGCTAGTTCCGGGACAGGCACCAAAGTTACAGAGAAACCCTGTCTCGAAAGAAAAAAAAAAATAAGAATCATAAGGAGGAGCTAAGTTTGAGTCTCAGTGATGCCTTACAAAATAAATACTTCTGTAAGACTATGGTGAATGGCATTCTCCCTTTAAAAATCACTGCTTATCCACAAATTTTGGCTGGCATACTGTTTTCTTTAAAAATAAACATTTGAAAGGGGTACTTAATATTTTTAAACTGTCTGATGGATAAGTATTTAATTAAGTGGATATAGAATCAACATTTATGACAAGTCTCTGGCCTTGTTTAAAGAACTACTAAAAGGTAAAATGAGAAACCAAAACACTGACTCATTTACCTTCAGGGAGAATGGGAAAAGGGTGGTGGTGACAGGACACAAGCTACCCTGCCTTGACCACACACTTTACACAGTCAGAACTGTCACAACCAGAGGAAGCTTCACATACTTAACAGTGAATGAAATACTGACGCTGCCCCCATAACCACAGTGAAAGGCAGGAGAAAAAACAAATCCAAGGAGCTTTGGAAAACTAGCTATTTAGTTTTCTAGGAATCTTCAAGTCAAATATCAATGTTAGCAAATCTATTCATTTCAGTAGTGGGGTCTAGCAATTATGAAATATGAAGCAATTTTAACCGTACACTAGGGTTAAACAAATAAAAAAGCAAAACAAAAAACCTATAACTAGCTAATGAGAGCCAGAGTTGTACAGGAAAGAGGAAGACTATCTTCTCTGTGGTGATAGATTTCAAGCAGAGATATCAATGTGGCTCTTGACATACTATCTATAGAGACAGAACATGTGGCTTGACACTGGGTGTCTGTGACCCATGCCTTCCAGCTCTCTCCATCAAGTCTGATACTTAACACTGGCTGTGTATGATCCATGCCTCCTAGCTCTACCCACTGACTAAGCCTGAAAGCTATGTCACTTCAGGAGCGATGAGCCCCTATCATCTATAGGTAAGTATCAATTCTCTAATAAAGGGAATCAGAGCTTCTTGAAATGCCTCTAGGGCTAAGGACGAACAAAACAGGCAAGTTTTTAATATTCTGTAGTATCAAAATCAAAGCAAATAAACTAAAAGGGGGACTACTGAAAGGGTATGGAGCCAACCTAGGGAGCATTCATCAAGTAGCAATCTTTGAGTCAAGTTCACATGTGTAAATTGAAAATGGCGTGGGTTCATAAATCACATGAATAATTAAATAATATGAAATATCACAACGTTGGAGCTTCAAAGTATGTCAGGTGACAGCAAGAAGAGTCGTATCTTAAGAGGTTTCACATAACAGCTAAGAAGCTGGAACTTCAGTCAATTTGTTGTACCTACTGAAGAGGTCTGAGCTGGAGAACAAGATTATTAGGCATTCATTTTCAAAAGGTTATTCACAATTACTCTGATTGCAGACTGGGGAGGTGGATAAAAGTGAGTGGTGTGCATAAGTGAGGACCTGAATTTGGATTCCTAGCAACCAAGTAAAGCCAGGCATGGCAGTATATGCCTGAAACTCCAGGCTAAAGAAGGAAGTATAGTGATAGAAACAGGAAGACCCCAAGGACTTACTTATTGGCCAGCTAGTCTTGCCAAAAACATTGAGTTCCAGGTACAGTGAAAAGAGACCCTGTTTCAAAAAATAGAAACAATATGGAAGACTAGGGAGATGGCTCTGTGAGTAGGAGCACAGTACGTGAATGTAACCTCAGCATTGGAGGGAGGGGGGAAATGGGTGCAGATCCTGGGAGTTCACTGGCCGGCCAGCCTAGCTGAAATGGTGAACTCCAGTTCAGTGAGAGACCCTGTCTCAAGATAATAAAGTAGCAAGTGATAGAAGACACCTGACCTCCACCACTGGGCTCCTCATGGAAGTGCACATGTATATACCATATACATACACATACTTATATATGCATATACCTAAACAAAATAAAATGGTGGAGAGAGAGAGGAAGACACCTGACATCCACTTCCAGCTTCCAGCTATGTCCTCATGGGCAAGCAAACCTGTACACACATGCATATGCTACACATACACCCAAAAGTTACTTTAAATGTATTAAATGTTTACTAAATATATTTGAAGTTTTGTCATTGACAAAATAAAAAAGAGAGTTTACTGAAAACTTAAAATTCATCAATCAGGGAACCAGCTACCAAGGCCACAGTGGTCCTGAGGAAGCAAGCTCCACGGGAGCAGGAGCCAGGAGCCAATCCAGTCCTGGGACACAGGCAGACCAGGACTGAACCAGCGACCTGGTCCAGAGACAGCAAATGCCACCGGAACAGGTACAGGGGAGTAAGCGTTGAGCGAGTGAGCAGAGCCAGAGACCTCTAAGGGTCCGGACGTGAATCTGGGACCTTCAAGGGAGTAGACCTAAGCCAGGACCCCTGTGGGTCTGGGTGTGAGTCTAAGACCTCCCAGGAACTAGGCCTGAGCCAGGACCTCTGTGGGTCTGGGCACTGGTCTGGGACATCAAAGGGAATCGGCAGGAACCTGAAACCTCTGCAGGTCTGAGCGTGAGTCTGGAACCTCTGAGGGAGTAAGCCTGAACCAGATCCTCTGCTGTTCTAGGTACATCCAAGCCTGAGAGCTCCAAGGCAGTAGACTAGAGCCAGAGACCTTTGACGGACCAACTCCACGCCATGGACTTCTGCAGGAGTGGATCCAGACCAGGATTTACAGAAACAGGTCAAAGCTGGTAACCTAGGTCAAAGTAGGCCTGAGACAGCAAACTTCAAGGGAGCTGAACAAAGCCCAGGAGCGCCGAGCTATCTCCAGTAACCAACGGGGTAACTAGAACTATGGCACTGACTATACCATGTGGAAAAACCATCTGAGCTTTGGATTCACTAGCACCTAGAAGATTAATCAACAGAATCTCAGACAGCCCCAACCACACCTATTAGAGGAAACAAACAAGTGGAAGACTTGTATAAGAACTTTAAATCTTTGAAGAAAGAAATTGAAGAAGACACCAGAAAGTAGAAAGATCTCCCATGCTCTCTCTTGGGTAGGCAGAATTAATATAGTAAAAATGGCGATCTTACCAAAAGCAATCTACAGATTCAATGCAATGCCCATCAAAATCCCAGCAAAATTCTTCACAGACCTCGAAAGAAAGGTACTCAACTTCATATGAAAAAGCAAAAAACCCAAGATAACCAAAATAATCTTGTACAATAAAAGAACTTGGAGGCAACACAATCCCTGACTTCAATCTCTACTACAGAGCTACAGTATGAAAACAGCTTGGTATTGGCATAAAAACAGACAGGAGGACCAATGGAATCGAATTGAAGACCTGGATATTAATCCACACACCTTCGAACAGCTGATTTTTAACAAAGAAGAAAAAGATATCAAAAGGAAAAAAGAAAGCATATTTAACAAATGGTGTTGGCATAACTGGGTATCAACATGTAGAAGAATGAAAATAGACCCATATCTATCATCATTCACAAAACTCCAGTCCAAATGGATCAAAGACCTCAATATAAAGCCAGCCACACTGAACCTTATAGAAGACAAAGTGGGAAGTACACTTGAACACACTGGCACAGGGAACACTTCCTAAATAGAACCCCAGCAGCACAAACACTAAAACTATTAATAAATGGGACCTTCTAAAACTGAAACGCTTCTGTAAAGCAAAGGAGACAGTCAACAAGACAAAACAAGAGCCTACAGAATGGGAAAAAACCCACGCGGTCTGATCTCCAAAATATACAAAGAACTCAAGAAATTGGACACCAAAAGATCACATAATCCAATAAAAAAAAATGGAGTACAGACCTAAACAGAGAACTCTCAACAGAGGAATCTAAAATGGCTGAAAGACACTTAAGGAAATGATCAACATCCTTAGTCATCAGAGAAATGCAAATCAAAACAACTCTGAGATTCCAAACACTGATGATAACTTATGCTGGAGAGGTTGTGGGGAAAAGGGAACACTTCTGCATTGCTGGGGGGAATGCAACCTGGGACAACCCCTTTGGATGTCAGTGTGGCGATTTCTCAGAAAATTAGGAAACAACCTTCCTCAAGATCCAGGAATACCACTTTTGGGTATATATCCAAAGGATGCTCAATCGTGCCACAAGGACATGTGCTCAACTATGTTCATAGCAACATTGTTGGTCATAACCAGAACCTGAAAACAACCTAAATGCCCCTCGATTGAAGAATGGATAAGGAAAATGTGGTACGTTTACATACTGGAGTACTACACAGCAAAAAAAAAAAAAAAAAAAAAAAACCCGACATCTTGAATTTTGCAGGAAAATGGATGGAGCTAGAAAACATTATTTTAGTGAGGTAACCCCGACACAGAAAGACAATTATCCCATGTACTCCCTCATAGGTGGTTTTTAAACATAAAGCAAAGAAAGCCAGCCTACAAACCACAATCCCAGAGAACTTAAGACAACAATGAGGACACTAAGAGAGACTTACATAGATCTAATCTACATGGGAATTAAAAAGACAAGATCTCCTGAGTAAATTGGGAGCATGGGGCCCTTGGGGGAGGGTTGAAAGGGGAAGGGGAGAGGCAGAGAGGGGAGCAGAGGAAAATGTAGAGCTCAATAAAAATCAATTAAAAAATTCATCAATCAGAAGTCTTGGGACGTCTTGTAAACAATGAAAAAGCTTCCTATGAAGGTAGAAACAATTTAAACAAAACTCTTAGATTTACAAGTATTAAAAGGCCCTAGACTGACTTCATAGGCACCAGGCCTCCCAGTCCATTTGGAGAATTGGAACTGAGCACTGTTCCTACAAAGGTACACCTACCTCTTCCTAAGGCTCTGGGCCAGCACAGCACAGGAGTTACCCATCCTTGTGTTCCAACTAAACAGTTCAGTGTTCAGACTCAAACTTCCACCTGCCCTTAAATGCACAAACTTGCCTAGCTGGATTCCCATAGTTATTATTCCCATGGATACTAATTATTTTATTACAGCTACACAGGTTTTTTTCTTCCTCTGTCACCCTTATTATTAACTGAGTGATTGTTAAGTGGGGCGGGAGGCAAACACACAAGCAGATGATTTGCAGGAGTTGGTTTTCTCCTTTTACCATGTGAATCCCAAGAAATCATCTCAAGTTGTTAGGCTTGGTGGCAAGTGCCTTTAATAACTGAGCCATCCCACTGGTCCAAGCCATGTAGTTTCTTAACAACATACTGGTATTTTTAAAAAAATCCATGCCTAAGGACACGTGAGTGCTTGTATGATGTACTGGTGGTGCTAGGTGTTCTGAAGGCTGTGAAAACCATATCAAAGGTGAAATTCAGTCTCCTGGAAAGACAGATTACTTACTAGCTACAAGTCATCTTCTAGACAATCCTATTCCATCAAGAATTAACAGTACAGAGAAAGACAAAAATGTAATCAAAACAAACCAGTATCATAATTAGCTATGAAGTTAATGTTATTGAGCCATTAGCTATCTAGTAGCAAAATACCACAATGAATGACGACTCCATATTTATTTACCCTGTACAGAAGAGGTAGGGGGAAGCAGCGAACCATTTCTTTCCTTATTTTATATCATCTTCTTTCTCAAAGGGGGAAAAGAAAAAAAACAGAAATAATAATGGTAGAAATACCCCTAAATTTTGTGGTCCAATACTACCTACCTAGGCCATTACTTTGATTGTAACAGATTCTTGTCAACATTCTATGAAGAGATAAATGAACTGAGGAATGATTTACTCTAGCAGTCAGTAAGTCACTAATAAAGTATTTTATATCTAAATGTTGGTTTTGTCTTGAAGTTGTTACACCATTATCAAAACTAAATCTATTTTCACTCAAAACCACAAAGTCCTGAATTGTAATTATTTGTTTCTTAAACACACACACAGAGCAGAAAACAAGGACTAGCAAGAAGGCTCAGCAGGTAAAGGTGTTTGCTGAACAAGCCTGGTGACCTGACCTTGTCTCCAGAAGCCATGTAATGGTGGAAGGAGAAAACTGACTCCACATAGTCATCTTCTGACCTTCACATGCACAACATAGCATGTGTATATACATTCTCTCTCTTTCATACACACAAACACAATAAATATGAATACATTTTGAAAACAAGCATTTGTTTACTGGCTTACTTACTTCATCCATTTTCATGCACGTGCCAAAATCTGCTAATTTTAGATGTCCATGTTTATCCAAGAGCATGTTATCAGGCTTCACGTCCCTGTGGATTAAGCCCATGGAGTGTATTGCATCCAGTGCAAGCACTACTTCAGCAGTGTAAAACTTGGCCCATTTTTCAGGCACATCATAATTACTCATAAGGTTTACAAGGTCTCCACCTGGCATGTATTCCATCACCATGTACAGGTACCTGTCATCTTGAAAGGCACAAAAGAGCTGGAAAAGGGGAAGGAATAAAATTATACCAAAAACAAAGCCACGAACAAAACAAATCCTCAAATTATTACTTGTGAAAAATACTTTATAACTAAAACAGAGTTAAAATTTTTGGCACCTTTTACTTCTTGATCAGGCCCATTTAATAAAAAAAACAACAGCAGGCCAATTTTACATGGGTGTTTTTCTAGAATATTTTCTATAAAATATTCATACGAATGTTTTCCTCTCATGGAAAACACATTTTTAAAAAGATATAATAATAACAAAGAAGATAATAGTTTTTGAAAACTAAACAAACTATTGCTCATACCTTACACAGAAGAGAGCTGGGAGCAGGGGTAGCTTAGAAACATCTAACAGATACCAATTTAACAGAAATAAGGCCCATTTCAATGAAAAAAAAAAAACGAATGAATAATCAGTAGCCACGCTTGGAAGAGAACTAACTCCTCTTTTCTATTCTCCATTCCTTTATTCATGATAAGCAGTAAGCTGCACTGTCACCTGCTTCCAGGCTGCAGTGTGTTGCTACCAGACCCCAGGAAGATAGAGTAACTGAAACTACAGAGAAAGGGTATCTGTACAGCACCCCTAGTCCCTCTCCAGAAGTAAGCAAACAGAAAAAGTAGCTCCCAGCATTTAAGATATAAGAGCTAGCTAGCAATACGCTTAAGTGATTGGTCAATCAGTGTTGTAATTAATATAATTTCTGTGTAATTATTTCAGGTCTGGACAGCCGAAAAACTAAGGAGCAGCCTCCTTCTACAACCCAGAGATTATGTCAATCAAGAGCGCCTTTCTTTCTCAGTTGGAATCTACTCGGCAGAACTAAAGATCAAAAGATACCAAAAGACAGAATGGTTAACTAGTAAATGCCAATGAACACACTGATAGGGGAGCAATTTAGATTTAAAGCTAAAAATGGTATACTTTAGTGCTCTCCTCTTTTCCCTTATTTTTGAGACAAGGTTTCCTTATGTAGATCAAACAGAACTCAAACTTAGAAAGAATCCCCTCATGCAGCCTCCCAAGTACTGGGACGACAGCTGAGTCCACTACGCTAGCATTACTGTCATTCTTTACTCAAGCAAATTATCAGAGCTTGTAAGTTGCCACACAAAAAAAATTAGTTTGAACCATACAGATCAGAATTTCTAAACAATGGCTTCATTGAGCCAGATAAAAACAAAAGGAGACTTAAGATTTAATCTCATTTCTAATTTTATTTTATGTATTTGGGTGTTTGGCCTGAATGTATATAAGTGCACTACACGAGTGTGTCCAGTATTTTCGGAGGTTAAAAGAGTGTTGGATCCCTTGGAACTGGAGTTAGAGACATTTGTGAGGTGCCATGTATATGCTGGTCAAACCCAGGTCTGGAAGAGCAACCTGGCTCTTATCTCTACAGAACCCCTTAACATCATTTTTAAAAGCAGCACTAATCACCTACATGGCTGGAAAAAAAAGAAAAAAGAAAAACAAATCTCTGCCAGGTGGTAGGTGGTGCACACTGCTCAATTCTAGCACTCAGGGGGGAAGACAGAGGTGGGTCTCTGTGAGTTCTAGGTCAGCTTGGTCTACAAATGGAGTTCCAGGGCAGCCAGAACTGTTACACAGAGAATCTCTGTCATGAAAACAAACAAACAAACAAACAAACAAACAAAATAATCTCCACGCTGCCTCTCTCAAGCAATGTGTGAAACTCCAGCTCATTTAAGCTCTTTAGAGCACACATTGGAATGTGGGTAATCTTACTCAACACCCTTGCTCAAAATTGTTTGTAGATTTCAATGCTGGAATTAAACAAATATCAAGTCAATTCTCTAATTCATAGTTAGTTATGAGGTGGAATCAGGTGTACTAAAATTATATATTACAGAAAAACAGATAAAGGACTGTTGAATGTTTAAGATGTTTATTGTAGAAAGCTATTCTCCCATTTAAGATAGACTGAGAATGTAACAGCATACTGACTGATCACAGCAAATCTTTATATAAGGCAATTAATAAGGAAATGGTTTCCAGTAATAGTTCTTATAACCAATTTAAGTAATCACTACATACCACGACTCTACAGCTATACCACCAATGAACATTAAACAAGCATACTCAATCAGATCTAACAAAAAAATTGCATTTTTACTATGTAAACAAAGCACAGAATGATTAACACATAAAACCCTCTTCTTGAATAGACAAAAAAATAAAACAAACAAACAAAAAAACCACAGACTTATAGAAGTTAGCATGCTTACCTGAACCACCCAGGGACTGTTCGCAAAGGCCATAATATCTCTTTCTTCCCAGAAAAAAGCAGAATCTGATCTTTTTATCATTTCAAACTTACTAAGAAGCTTCATTGCATAAACCTTCTGTGATGCCTTATGACGAACCTGTGGATTTTTAAAAAGCCAAAAATGAGCAATACTTTAATTGACGAGGAGAATGCTGTTGCTGCAGTACTGTTAAGAACTAGCTGCAAGACAACTGACCCTTAGCCAAGTAAATGCATGTAAAACCATCTCAAAAACCAGCCCCTAAAGCAAAAGTATAACATTTATGAGGAAGAACATTTCTAAGTGGCAAATATTTCAGGAAACAGCGTTTTAAATCTAGTCAAATAAGCAATAATCTCATTTCAGCTAAGTAAAGCTTAATCTATAAAACTCCACTCCCTCAGTCAACCTAACTTTTTTTTTTTTAAAAAAAAAAAGACACTATTTAACAGAAAATTCCCAGGAAATGTTTATTGGGGCGGGGGGGGGGGGGTGGGGGGGCGGGCGGGGGAACGACACGACATTTCTTTTAGTCTGAAACGTGTGTATGTGTGTGTGTGTGTGTACATCACTTATCTGAACATTAAGAATCTAATAGATTAGTTTGCAACCTGATTTTATGAACTCATTCTTATTTTTTCTTAGTATCCTATTTAAAAGATTTCTAAGAAAAACAACCAATATAGTTATTTGATCAATTCTTACTTTAATAAATTTCTTCAGAGTAAGAATGACATCTATTTATAACCACTATTAATTCCCAAAACATAGCAAAGTATCACAAAGCAAGAAATATACAGTCTAAAATATAACAGCTAACACAAACTAGATAATAATAATTGATATACAAAACTAAAATGCCCAAGGTTTATTCTTGCATGTATCTCTTTCCTACAGCAATTCTCAAGTTGGTAAATGGCTGTTCCATCATTCAAGCTGCACAAGCTAAAAATTCCTTTGTCAGAAAATGATACAGTACAGCCTTTAACTTGTTTCTACATCCAGCCATGTCTGTTTATTCCCATTAATGCCAACAGAGTTCAAGATCTTTTACTCCAATTGCCAGCAAAATCTCAGTAGTTTTCCTCTTTTACATTCACTCAGTCTAATGAGTAACATAAAAAAAAAAAAAAACAATTCTGGTCACTCCTCAGCTTGCCTCTTTCATATGAAGAGTCCTTTCCCCTGAGTTCAGTTCCTAACTTCCTTCAAACCCCAGTTCAAATACTACCTTCTCAGCAACACCAACTCTGATCAAGGTACTTGAGTCACTGATTCCCTCTCCTGCTAGTTGTCCCTAATTCATTCTCTCTGCCTTATTTTGCTGTTTCACTTACTAATCTAACATTAAAAAACAAAAAACCAAACAAACAAACAAAAAAAAAACAAAAAAACGTAACTTGCCAGGTGGTGGTGGTGAACATCTTTAATCCCAGCACTTGGGAGGCAGAAGCAGAGGCAGGCAGATTTCTGTGAGTTTAAGGCCACCTTGGTCTACAGAGCCGGTTCTAGGTCAGCCACAGCAACACAGAGAAACTAAGTTTCAAAGAAAAAGAAAAAAACAAAACGAAAAATCTTATTGTCCTCTATCTCTCAGCACCAGAATTTAATCCAATAGAAGATAAAATACCATTACAAAGTATGTGCCAAGCACTATGTGTTTGATACATTGCCTCAATTTCTGTTTTAGTCCCAGTGGGCTATCCTTTGTACCTGTCAAAATGGAAAACATAAGGCAGAGAATTCAAGCTGCCTGCGGACTGAATGAGATGCACTCTGCATCCAGAGTCTATACTGCTTTTATATCTGTAAACCCGCAATTAGCATAACCTGCCTCAAAGAGGTGGATTTCATGGTTTCATGCCCCCAATACCCAAGTCCACCTGCAGTTCTTTCCTTCTGAGAAGCTCACCAGCTTCTGGTCTTAGGGCTGAAGGAAGAAGTAAGAAAAGAAGCTCTTGACCACAGTGCTGACTAGCCTAGGGCCATTTCATAACTTAAACCTTGCCCTATGTTCTTGTTTATAGTTGAAGCACAATTATTGTCCTTTAGTCCCTCTAACAGAAGAATGAACCTTTCTTCTTTATATATTTTTCACTAGAAAACCCATCACTGTCCCTGACTCCACCTCTCACCCATGGACACTAGTTTCTTCTCCACTCAGCTGAAATATGAATCTCCTCAAAGAGGCTTTCATTAATTAAATTCAATTAAATCAAGAACCTCAATGAAGGTCGGCAGTAAATATTTTCTTAAAAACTGTAAAGGATCTCAGTACTGCCTCATAACTCCATTTGCTTTCTTCCTACAATCTGTTGGGTTTTTTTTTCTTTTGATGCTTGTTACTTATTGCAGGCTCCCCAGTATGGACTTAGTAAGGACAGAGCTTCTTTGTGCCTGTTTTGTCCCCTTCTAATGCCCAGTGATAAGTTCAATGCCAGTGCTGGCAAAAATAAAACAGATACTAAAATGATACCTGATGAGTGGATATATAAAAAATAATTCCTTGACTTTATGACTGACCGCCTAAAATTTCAGGATTTTGTTTTGTTTTTGAGAAAAGTTCTCACTATACAGCCCTGGCTGGTCTGGTACTTCTTTGCAGAGCGGGATAATCTTGAAGTTGGAGATATACCTGCCTCTGCCTCATGGAGTGATGGAATTAAAAGTGTATACCACATTTGCCAGTTGATTTTCCAGTTTTAAGGAAGATTCAATAGTAATATTCTAGCTAACTCTTGCTAAATATTATCTACATCTAGAATCATATTTTTATTGATTAAAAGTGAAATAAATCAAAAGAATGCTCACATCTTTCCCAGAAGAAACTGGGAAGAAAATAGAATAATTTGCAAATCGAATACTACATAAATATAATAAAAATTTAAAAATCATAAAATGTTCTATTTTAATACAGAAAATTTTTTCTCCTAACAAAACCAAGTAATTTTATTTGAGTTTTAACAAATCTCTTATAAAATGACAATTCCTAACACAATCAATATAAGCAATCATCACTTAAAATCATATCCTTCTGATTATAATGGCACAGCAGGAACCAGCTAGCCCTCCCACTATAAACTACCATCAAATAGTATTAAGGCAACAGTTTCCACCAACGCTTTGTAAAATGAGCAGCACATAATTAACTAACTCATTAAGTCTACTCTATAATGGCCTACAAACAGTTTAAAAACAACATCTCAATTGGTGTACAGCAATAGCTTCCTAAGCAGAGCATAGTGACACTGCTGAATTGTGGAGAAGTGGCAAAAGGGAGGCGGCTGGTGCACCAAGATTAGAAAGCAAATAAAATGAGGAGCTGGGTTCTGCTGTAGGTAAAGCACAGAAGTCACCTGAGAGAAAATATCCCAGGTTTACTAGAGCAACTCTGACAGGTTTGATAGCAGGACAAAAACACAAGCAAACTGAAGAATACCTTGCAAATTTCCTGAGCATGCATGCAGCTGATACACCTTAGAGTACAAACTATAAACAAACAAACAGAACAGTGGTTGTCAACCTTCCTTATGCTGTGACCCTTTAATATAGTTAGCCATGCTGTGGTGACCCCGACCACACAATTTATGTTCCTTACTACTTCATAACTATAATTTCTGTTAGTTACAAATTGTAACGTAAATATCTGATATGTGACCCCTGTGAAAGGGTCATCCAACCCCCAAAGGGTCGCAACCCACAGTTTGAGAAAGGCCTGTTCTACTACTACTTAACAAAACCTAACAGCAAATCTAACCATCAGAAGGGAGCAGTTTAGCTAGAGGTTGAGCTGAGCCCTACTCAGGAAAAAGCAACAATACTTGCTCTTTCCACACACCTACTCTGACAAAGTTTAAAACAGTCTGCACAAATTAATGATGACCAACCAGTAAGCCACTGAACAGATCATAGGAATGAAAACCAACATTCTTCAAAGAAATTAACTCAAGCCTCAAAAACTCTACCCCATGTCCATAAAATCTAGCCAACAACTTAAAACTTAGGAAGAGATAAAAAGGAAAGCATGACTTGTTATCACGAAAAAAGCAGGGGCTGAAGAGATGGCTCAGAGGTTAAGAGCACTGCCTGCTCTTCCAAAGGTCCTGAGTTCAATTCCCAGCAACCACATGGTGGCTCACAACCATCTGTAATGGGGTCTGGTGCCCTCTTCTGGCCTGCAGGCATACACACAGACAGAATATTGTATACATAATAAATAAATAAATATTAAAAAGAAAAAGAAAAAAGCAGCCAAAAGAAATGACTCCCAAAGGTGTTAGGTTAGGTTTAAGTTTTTTTTTTTTTAAAAAAATAAATTAAGCAAAAACAGCTCTCAGAAATATGCTTAAATAAAAAATGCATGTAATAGAAATATAAAAATAAATTAGAAATTCTATCACTGAAAAATAAATACAGTAACAAATGAAAACTCAGAAGGTTTTAACAAACATTGATTTATAAATGAGAAATTCCAGCCAGGCACATACTTTTAATGCCAACACTTGAGAAGTAGAGGCAGGTAGATCCTTTGAGCTCAAGGCCAGTCTGGTCTACAGAGTTCCAGGAAAGCCAAGGCTACACAGAGAAACCATGTCTCAAAATATTGAAGACAGAGTGAGATAAATTCAGTGTTTCTGAACACAAGTAAATTTGAAAAATAAAGACAAAATGAGTAAATTAAAGAGATTGGACTCAGTGGCATCCAAGGTAATTTTAAGCTGTCTAAAATATATGTAAAAATATAAAGGACTAAATATACTCATTAATGAATTGTCAAAAAATTAAAAAGCAAGTATAAACTTATATGGTTTAGATATAAATCAGATAGGCTGAAGATTAAAGTAAAGGCAAGTTAATTTGTCCTGGAAAACAGCAAGGATAAAATTATAATAGAAATGTAAATAGCTGCTGTGGGACAATGGTTTTACCCTGTGAAGATTTGTTTCTTGTGCTTGTTTAATAAAATGCTGATTGGCCAGTAGCCAGGCAGGAAGTATAGTAGGGGCAACCAGGCAAGAAGTAGAGGCAGGGCAATGAGAACAAGAGAATTCTGGGAGGAGGAAAGAGTCAGTCTGCAGTCATCACCCAGATGCAGAGCAAGATGTAACTGCCTTGCC